ATGTGGTATTTTACTTACTAACTATAATGATGTAGAGATAGTTGACCGTTGATACAATATGAGAAGGAGTTAATCGTACTGTAACAATACTTATTCAATTTTCAATCTATTTATTCGTTGACATTCATTTTATTTATCTGTAAACCACAGTTATCTAATGTAATCTGTTTACTTTTTACTTACATGCTATATTCTCCTTTATTTTTATTTTTATTCATACTTATTTTCCATTTGTTTGTATCTCCTACATATATAACACTTAATATTTAACTACATTGTCACCCACTATGTCTCTGATATCATCTTCTATTTCTGTATCTGACAACTTCTTCTTATTTTATATCTACTTATATTTATTTTTTATTTTCAACATGTTTTGTATCTTTTGTAGCCCTGAAGACGACCTGCAAAGTGGGTCGAAACGTCGGCAAAAATTAAAATAATTAATATATTTTAATTTAGTATTTATTTGACCGCACCCCCCCGATTAGCTCCTTCTCATAGTTACTAACTAGTTAAGTAATACAGTTTTGAGAAGCAAATAAGGGGTTGTTGATCATTGAACCTTTGTTGTGAATAAAATATCTACTTTTGGCAATAATTAAAAGAGAGAGTGTCATTGAATTGTAGGTGAACAAATGAAGAAACAACTTGGAAGAGTTTGCCTAGAAGATTACATTTAAATGTTATCACCATTTTATATACCATGTTAATTGTTTTCTTTTTTTTCATATTGATTTGTTATACTTTTTTTTCAATTATGTGCATTAATTTATAAGTTTATTTTTATTTTAACAACTAAATGTTGCATGCACACTAGGTTTTTCCTTGAGTTTACCATTAGTATGTATCTAAGAATATAACTTTGATATATTTTCACAGAAAGATATATTAAATTTTATTTTGATTTTCTTAATAATATATATATTTTTTAAAAATTTATCATATTGTACTTTTTTATTTCAAAAATTTCCTTTTAATTAAGGTTCCTTTAAAAATAGGCTTGTGTTTTCGGTTCATCTCATAGACCTGCTGAAATTAATGATCTAGTACCCTAATTGACTAAATATTTCCATTTCTTTCATGGGAATGGCAGGGTGGAAACCTTAACATTATTAATAAAATAAATCAATAATAAATAAATTTTATTTGTTTTTGGGCGGACCCATAAAAAAATGGTTGAGTTCATATACATGAAATCAAATTAAATACATTAATAGTAAGAACCAGTAAAATAAAACAATTGTGTTTGATACAATAATAAACTATACAAACTATCTTGAATAAAGTAAAATATAATGTTAAGTCCTAATATTATTATTTACATATAATCTTAACGTTAAACTTAATGATAAAACTATTCATTCTTGAATAAACATAAAAAGATTCCTTAATTTTAAACAATCCTTGACATACCAGTATAAATCATGGAGTTCAGATTTGTTTTTTATATGTAATAATTTTACTATTTATTCTTTATCGTCAGAATTACCATCAATATATTATACTTACTTCTAAAAGTTTCATATGTAGGACATTACAACCATAAATGGTATAAATCTTATGTTTCAAGTTATAAATGGGGCATTCAGCACTCCTATCTAGAAAGCCGTTTTGAAAAACGTAAGAAGTAACCTTTAAGTTCTCTGGTTGGCACAGTCTTGCCTCAGTTGGCTAACCATTCTATGCTCTCTTATTGGGCTCTTAATTTTTAGATAATGTTCACCCTTAGTGAAGCTTCTAATTTTTCTAAAGTTGTGATTGAATTTTGAGTTCAATATAGATTGAATATTGAGGGAAAATTGATTACATTTTAACTTTCCTATAATATTTTTACATTCTCCTTGAAATAATTCTTTATTTTTAATGTTTAATAATCAAACTGAGTCTTTTACTATCAGCATATTTATCAATTATAGGTACTAATTATATTTCGCATTAATTAAATAATTAGAGCAATGTTTTTTATTTGTAAATATACTTTTGGTAAACAGTTATCATTCATTTGGTCTACTTATGGGTATATATATTTTTTTCTCTCTCTATTGGCTAACCCCCTACTAGCTATTTCTGGCATACAGGGGAGTTGTTCTAGAGGTACAACCAAAGCTATTCTAACCAGAGTGGGAGGGTCGAGTTTTATCACAAGGATGCTAGACCAGGCAACGCTCCCATACACTGGGCCACCAAGACCTCTACTTAATGGTACCACCGAATCATTCTTTAAAGAGCGCTTAAAAGATGATTAATTATTGATAGGATTAGGTTGTGTCTATGCTCAAAATATTGAAACTCCTCTGTAGTAGAAATATTTTTCATTAAACCATAATTGAAATTCTTGTAATGACTATCTGGATTCTGTCCTAGGACTTGTCCTTTGGAAGTTAATCTTCAATAAGTTGCTAGGAGTGGTTCTCTGTCCTGGTCTATGTTGACGACTTTGCCATAGTGGTGGTGTCCAGCAGTAAAGCCGGCGTGCAGGAAGAAGTAGAAAGCTGTTCCAATCATGTTGGTGAATAGTGAGAGAAGAAAAGTTTGGAAATGGCTGGTGGCAAAACCCAAGCAGCCCTTCTGAAGGGTTCGATTGCTGTGGCTCACCATATTGTCATGATTATACAAGGGACAAAGATAAGCCCGAGTAAGGATGTAATCTACCTTGGAGTAAGGTTTAGTAGAATATTCCATGTTAATCCTTAGGGGCTTCAGATACCTAGCAATGATGAATGTCTATAATGGAGTAGTACTGATTATTGTGAGGTACACTGGATTGGAATTGGAAAAGAAGATAGGCAACAATCCAGAGGATGGCTCTGCTGCGAGAAACAAAATTCTATAGAAGTGTTGTTCCTGAAGAGGTGTTTTCATCAATTTTTCTTCAAAAAAATGTTAGCATGAAAAGTATTTTTTATATATAGTTTAAAACAACCAGGGTCAGTATCATGCCTAAGAGTTGCATGTATCTTATTTCTGGACTTTATCTTTATCATTAATCTCAGTGCTCCTTAAAGTTGCTATTGCGCTGCCTGGTAATGGTGGGGAAATCAAGTCTAGCAATTGGGTTTGTTCTTTCTTTTTGCCAACCAAAAAATAACCAATGGAAAACCTCTTATTCCTTGGTTTCGAACCTTCTGATTTTTCCTAATGAAACTCATAAGGGATGACTTAAAATTATATTCCTAGGTCTATCTGAACCCTGTAGCTGTATCTTAATGACACATAATCGCCACAGTCAGCTATATAGTGCATGGTGGTGTGGTCTCTGGTGCTTGCCCATATACAGGGCAGGTTTCCCCAACCACCACTCTAGAAATCTCTACATGTCTTATGAATATTTATTAATTCAAAGTTTATTTCTATTTAGTCATATCAGCCACATGCTCCTAAAATAGAGAGTTTTTAATTGATTTCTTTCTGATTAATTGATTGATCCTTTCTGAAGCTGATGCAATCCATCTACTTCTTGCCCTTAGAACTTCATGCACTAGGGATGTCTGCAAATACTTGTTGAAGGTTTTAGTCCTAGGAAGGAGAGCTGAATGTCATTTCTAACCAGCTGGCCAGCTTTCTTCCTTTAAGCTTCAACCTTATTCCCCAAGAAACATAAATGAATACATTTTTAAAACTTTATACTGGGACCGCTTTCCAGTCCCCATTTAATCAGTGTTGTATTTGAAGTGGAATTATATTAGAGCTTTGCTAACCCTGACCCCCAATCATCAAAGCTTGTAACCCCCAATCATGCATTACAATCGTTTTTAATTCCCCCATGTTAATGGGTTAAGAAGAAAACTTAGTCTTATTTAAGGTATGAAACAAGTTTAACAAAATGTGTTTAAAAGTAGAATTTAAGTTCCAGGATCAATGACGCGATTAATTAAATTATAAAAACTAAATCATCTACATTCTGCAATCTTATGCCCTTTCGATGCAAACGAAAACCATTAAAATTATTAATGCCAGAGGATTTCGCCGCCACTGTGATCAATTTCTGGCAGGGGTGTCCAACCCCCCAAGATGGATGGCGCATAAACCTCCCTTCCCTTCCCCCAAGATATTTTATTGCTCACCTTTTCTTAACAAACAGAGCAAGCGAAGGTAAAATTACAAAAATCGTAGATGATATACAATTACATTTGATTTGGCCTGTTCCATGTTTTCCCCCTGTCCCTTAGTCCTAAAATTCGTAAACCCCTCGAAATTTGAGCTCTCAAAAATTTGTACGGCCCGACTTGCGCCATGAAACCTCATGGACACCCCTGGTTTAATGGAAATACACTCGCATTAACCGTTGATAGAAAAGGATGACGATTGTTGCCGTGAGCAGTAAAGTAGCGAAATAGTAGTTATATTACATTAAGTTTTTTTGTTTTTTTTCTAGTAATAATCTTAGTTGAATTACATTATAAGTAGATGTAATTGGAATTATTGGTCTATAAAGCATCATAAGATAAGTATAATACATTAATATAAACGATAATATAGTTAAAATAACTGGTAAACTGATCTATTAGTTGTTTACAAACACATAATTTTGAATACATGCATATAAAAATCTGGTGCGCGCAACACACAACTTTCACTTACCACTCTACTTTGAATAAAAATTATTATCTGGCAATGCTGGGCTATTATACAATTTTTTGAAGTGCATTTTAAACGGAGCTAAGGCTTAAAGCATACAGATAATAAGTCAGTAAGACCATTATAATTACAAAATGCCTATTTAATATACCGACGGTAGGCAATAAAAATTTAGTTACTTCATTTGCTTTTATAAACCACAGAATGACTAACTCCAGTTTGAACATTTTTGAGTAATGTCATTTTAGTGATATTTTTGTTGAAAAAGTTATCTATGCAGACAGTAAGTTGATTCCGGAGGTGGTGATTGCAGTGTTGAAATATAAAACGGTGAATAAAGGTATAAATTTAGGCATTTATTTCTAATGAAAGATACTTAAAACAATTAAAAAAGTATAATTTAAATTTATCCAAATTTTCGCCTCTTCCGGGATAAAATCTGTTTTTACGGTATATTTTGAATTTTCATCTCAAAAAACAAAAATATAAAATATCCTTTCAGATGACTTACTATTAGACATTAGCACAGTTATGCAACAAATAATAACATTAAAAAATGAATATTAACCAGTCATATTGTATATAAAAAACGCTGCAAATTATTTCACAATGGTTTATTATTTTTTAATAACAATTATACATCTAAAGTAACATTACCTTCCTAGTTAAAAGTAAACAAAAATAAAAGGTGATTCCGCTTAATGGACTAAACTTTCTTTTTAATCATTAGTAATATGCTAAAACAATTAGCATTACCTAAGTAACACATTCAAAATTCAAAAACCAAAACAAAAGATATAACCTTTGAAGCTGAACATATTAAAAAAAAAAGCTAGAGACCATATCTTTCCTCCTAATTGTCCGATTTTAACGAATTTTTTAGGAAACTCTGTAAACTTTAAAAGAACTTTTTCGTTGAATTATGTTATATAGATAAATTCAAAGGGTGTCGAGAAAATGACTTTAGCAAACTTTCATTGAAATCGGTACATTCGTTTAGGCGCTGCAGTCTATAGCAACGCAGGTTTTTCTGCATTTTTATTTTTTCACCTTTATTAACTTATCAAATTCTTTCAAAAGTTATATTTAGCATTTTTTCATAACTCTGAATAATGTGAAATGATTAAATTTTTAATATAAACATATTAAAGGTAATTTAGAGGGAGACGTACATGAACATTGGGCATTTAAGCCATGTAAAGTGACATCAATGAGGATAGGACCTAATTGGTATTAAAGATCACTTCTTTATACATTGATACACCTAGTTTAATCAAAATCGTTAAAGCCGTTTTTGAGAAAATTATAAAAATGTGTTTCAGCGTTGATATAAAGTAGCACTTCCGGTGAGCCGATTTTGAAGAAAAATTTGCTGTCACATCTAAGGCATATACCTATCTTAAATACGTAATATCAGTTTCGTACGACTTTTCGTTTTTGAGCTAGACTGCTAACATACCAACACTCAGACACACAGACCATTTTTCGGGACTTGGTCCTTTCGACTCAGGGTACCTCAAAACGTGTATTTCCGTTGAAAACTCAGATTCAAAAATTTTCTCGATCGCAATACTTACCCTTACTATGTATTACATATATACGTAAGTAAAAGTAAAAAGGTTATATACGAGGCAATGGCTTATCTAGACAATTTGGAGCTCTATCGGAATTGTTTTTGAAACCCCTTAAAAAATTAAATAAATAAAGCAATTGTTTCTAATTACCGACTGAGTAATTAATAAATTGAAAATAATTATTTCAGATACTCCCAAATATAAATCAAGTAAATAAATAATATATGAATATTCTTCAATGATTTATGCTTAGTCTCGTTGATATTGATGCTAATATTAGACCTTATAGATCTAGTGAGAGGATTTACATTAAAATATGAATAGAACCGATAGCCTTTTTGTGACGGTTGAACTATTTAAAGTTGGATTTAGACATTTCAGAAACAAATATTTATATAATTGTATTGTTACAATATAATAATGAGCGAACCATTTTAGACATTTATATTCATCTACTTATAATTTAGTAATCACATTTCGTAACTAGGCAAACTTTTTCGTTCCCGGTTACCATGAGAACAACGGAGATTTAAGGTATGCCTTTGTAAACACCACTACAAAAAAGTTTATTGTTAGAAAAACAACCCTAACCCCTCAATATAGTTTTCAATAGGATCTGATACGCAAAAGGTAAATAATTTTATATATATTTGTTGATTATTATTTGTTTTTTCGTTGTTCATATTTTTTAATCAAATATTAGAAATGGAAGCCATACGAGAGGCGAAAATTAAGAATGCCTCCAATCGTTTGCGAAAACTAAAGAAACCGCCTGAAGAATTCAAGATCAGTGAAGATCATGAAGAGAAACTGACTGAACTTTTCCGTCTATTTGAAGTGGATGTGGAGCATGGTATTGGTGAAGGAAGAATTTCATCAAAACACATAAAGGTGATTACCCTATCAGTTATTTTCATGCCTTTACATAGATTTTTCTAAATATCTATTCTTGCACAAAAGATGTTTAATGTTTTAAAAAATCTTGTTTGCAGCAATTTTTTTATTATGCTCTATTATGCTCTATTATATTCCTGTGTTTTAAAGCCCCGAAGTGTATTATTATTAAGAAAAACTGTAATTATTCTCGAAAGCCTCTTAGGCTATGGATAATTATCACCTGGTATGCTTTTAACTTTGAAATATTGCTATTTATTATAGTTTACAAAAAACTAAAAATCTGTTGAAAAGGTAGATGAAGGTTAATTCACGAGATCCTTTTGACACATCAGATAATATAGAAAAAAAAACTCAGATATTTTAATAAAAATTAACAAGTTTCGTGGACATGTTTTAATTTTCCTCAACATGTTTAACATGATTCTTAAGCAATTTTCTTCAGTCCTGTAGTCTGAGTTTCTTGGGGCACATTTTAATTTTGGGCATACGATTTTAAAATTGCAATATCTTTTAAGGGGGAGAGGTTATAGAATGTGACTTGTGTCATTTTGTTGTGCATGAAACAATAACTAGAACCCATTTAATTTGGTTAGGTTTTAATTACATTCGGCTGAGATATTGTCATCCAAAGTTTTGCATTTATTACCCAAAATAACTTTTAAATCCTACCTCTAAAAGCGCCAATAATTTGGTTGATTTATTTAATTCGTATACATTCCCTATTATGTTCATATATAATCATTATGTAAATTATGATTTTTATAATATATTTGCTGAAAACACGAGTACTTTTATGACTGAATAGAAAATCACAATATTTCTTTACACAACTTGAGTTGAATCTCAAAAATGTTCATAATAAACATCAACTTAATTAATATGGACTTAAAGCTTATTAAACGAAGAAGTTTTTCTAAATGTGGGGTAACTGTAGTACAGTTGAAGGGTGATAAAAAAAATCATAAATAATTTAGGATTTTTTTTAAACGAAACTTAGCTGTGTGTTTGTCAGCCCAATAATTATCTTTAAATAGTTTTAACAATGACAAAATCTACTTTGGTTTAAAATTAATTTTGTCCAGCTTATTATGGAGCAATGTTTAGTTACTTAAATCAAATATATTTCATGTTATCGTTTCCCATTCAACAAACAACGTGGCTCGACTTAAATTTTCAACACAAATCTTAAATTTTCTGCTAGAAATTGAGCAATTTTTTATTTGTAATTTTTTGTAAATCTTGATGTCTACTGTCAACCATTTAACTTGTTCCCTGTACTTAAGGGACACCTTAACGAAGGGTACAGATAAGGATGAAATTTATCATAAAATCCTCTATACGTTACTCTAAATTTAGGTCGTCATAAAATAATTACATACCTACTTCTAAGCTTTAGCCCTAGCCAGCTAGTCGACTTCTTTTGTTTTCTTAATAGATCTTATGTTTTCTTAATATATCTTATGTTTTCTTAATAGATCTTAGTTTTAGTGCTGGTTTTAGACATTCGGCGCCCTCGAGCAATGACGTCGATCCCCCTAAAAAAATTATTTTATTTCTAAAGCTGTTCTATATTATTTAATACTAGTAGGCCCGTGCGAAAAATTCGCACAGCTTATTGTTATCAAATGCCAAATTAATAAGATAATGAAATAATGCAACGTATCAAAAGATAAAGAAATCAATTGTTACTTTATCGAAAAATATAATCGACAAAGGAAACAAAAATTAATTTATATCTTCATTAATGTTTCGTACCAACATGTTTACAAATTTCAATAAGCTGAATCTTTGATGAAAACTGTCCGATTTCGATGATGGTATTTTCATTTTGTATGGCATTTAGTAATCTTTTATATAATCATAGGCATAACCAAGAGAAATGTGTATAATTTTTTAGTTTTCCCCAAATAAAATTTGTTTTCTTTCAAAACTTGTTTGCCTGAATTTTTGGAGTGATTGGACTATTTTGTCCATCTGAAGGAGAAGGGACCATTCGAAATTGGTGGTTCAGTCTTGAGATTTAGTGAAGAATTAATGATGATATGGGTTGCCTATCAAAAACACCATCGACAATTAATATAAAATCCTCCTCTCTCGATGATAGAGGCCTCAAGTCGACGAAATGAGACATGGTATTCAATGACAGTACTAGAATTAATGTAAGGTTGTGTGGATGCGAACCCTATGCCTTGCGTCATCTCGAAAATAGTGCGTTTTTGGGCTTAAAAACGCAGGATCCGATTGTTCTGAGGGTACTATCCGGGTCTTGCTGTACGCATCAAAATCTTCAAGATCCAATTTGTTGTATCTTATATTTGGTACAAAACCGATTTCGAGCCTTACTGTAATAATAGAATAGAATAGAAGAATCAACTTTATTCTGGGACAAAGTCCCTTAAGAATAACAATTTTGTACATAAAAATTAACATTCCATCTGGCCAAAATACATATTACAATAAAAAAAATAACTAAAAACTAAGTGATAGCAGAAGTATTTACCTTATTACATTTACATTACAGAATGTGACTAGACATCTTTTCCATGCTCAAAAAAGAATATATATTTATATACAAACGATAAATAGAGAAAAATGCAATTTTGTTATATAATAAATGGCTACCCAGCGTCTGATTGAATTGTAAGGAGGAATTGGAATAGGAGGGTTTTAAATATGGATAGGGATGGTGCATGGCGGATTTTAAGTGGAATGGAATTCCAAAAGGTAGTGAAGCGGACAATAAAGGAGTGTTGAAAGGAGACAGATTTGTGGAAAGGGGTATAAAGGTCAGAAGGACGAGATCTTGTGGAGATGGAGTGGATAGATGACTTAAATTGAAGGAGATTGAATGCGTAGGACGGACGATGATTATGGATTATTTGGTAAAGGAATGTACCTAGGAAATATTGTCTTCTAAAGGAGGGGAAGAGCCACCCTAACTCGGCGTGGTAGTGAGATACACGAGAACGTCTCGGGGTTCCATTGACAAATCTTACTAAGCCATTCATGATTCTTTTCAATCTGTCTCCCAGTTCCGATGAGAGGCCACCGTACACTACGCAGCCGTAGTCAAGGTGGGGGAAGATTAGGGCGGATACTAGGAGTCTACGTGTGGACATGGGTAAGAGATGGCGGAAGCGATGGAAGAGTTTCAGGGTGGAAATTGAGCGTCGGGATATTTGGGAAATATGGTGATTCCAGGAGAGGGTTTGATCTATGAAAATTTAGGATTTTTAAGTATAGGACGGACAATGGCTTTTTTCCATGAGGACGGAAATACTGAGTTCTGAAGGGAGAAATTGTAGATGAAAAGGAGAGCGGGAAGGATTCCAGGTAGGCACAATTTGAGTAATTTGACAGGAATACCATCTGGACCAATAGAATTGGAATGAGATTTCATCACGGCGGATGTGAGGTCTGTGGGAGAAATATCTGAAAAATAAAAGTTGACGTCGTTAAATGATATTCCAGGAGTAAAGAAGGAAGATGTTGATGGAGGAATGGAAGAGGAAGCTGATATAAAATATGAATTTAAATCATCAGGCTTGACTGGAAAGACTGCTGAGGAAGGAGATCTGGAGGATTCACAGAGAGAGAGAGTTTACGAAGGAGTAGCCATTTGGTTTTGGAATCAGGAGCTGATGAAAGGGCTTCGTGGAAATAGGTGGATTTGCCTCGTCGGATTTTGATTTGTGTCAGGTTACGGAGCACCCTAAACGCTTGTGTGGATAATATGTGGGGATGTGTAGATGGGGATGGGGATTTGAATTTTATTGCATAAATGAAATGAAAAAAATTGCATACAACATTTTTCTAACACAGTTGATTTATTGGTAGGCTAAAATTAAATATTTTAATACGTTTTGTAACTTTTTTTAAATTCTTATACAACTCCTAATGATCGACCGCCGCCCTCAAAGGTGCCCCTCCAGGCAGCGCTCTGGAACAATTGCCCCACCCTAAGGCCGGCACTGCTTACTTTAGTTTATATATTTTATTCATTCATATGGCTTATTTATTATTAATTTTGATTTTTTTTTTACTTCAAATTATTGGAGAGTGGGAGGGGCCTCCCACCCCCTTGATATTTTTATTGCGGGAGGGGGGGAGGGGGCGATCCTCCCTCCACTGAAATCTACGCCTTTGATTCCAGTAAAGGTTCTGATCAAAGTTTACTTCTAGATTTTTGGCTGTATGGAGGAAATAGATGGAGTGGTTATGAGAGGAAGGAAGGAAACTAATGAGATGTCTGAAACGATCAGGATAGCCTTAGTTTTATCTGCATTCATCTTCAATTCATTTATTGTTGACCATCTTTGGATACAACCAATATTCTCTTGTAGCTTTCGAGTAGCCTCAGACATCTCTGAAGGTAGGAAAGATTGGTAAATTTGGAAGTTCCCACCATGTAAGTTTTAACGGGAGTGATAAATGGAATAGGAAGCGACGTGATAAAAAGGAGAGGAACTATTTTAGAACGATAATTGATTTATGCAAGCTGCGGAGCTTGGAAAGGAGGATCAGAATCAAAGGCTTCTGAAATGTCGAAAAGAATTATGATTGTGATTTTCTGTTTATCGTCATTGGATTGGAGGCCTTTTGTATTCTTTAACGGGGCAGATATTGAAAACGAAAACAGAATTGGTAAAGGATTGACAAATTCAAATACTTAGACTCTACAATAACCTCAATAAAGACCAGGGTATAAAAAAAGCAGAACTTCCTTGTCTCATTCAAAGGTATTGAAATTAAAGTATTTTATTTTTGATAGCTAAGAAAGTTATGGCTCCTTAAAAAAAAGTTACTTAAATAGTCCTTTGTATTCGAGGGCCCTGGGCCTCCGCTTACCTATTAATCCACCGGTGTTTGTACAAGTTTTGCCAAGAGGATTTTAGAGAGTACTTTTTTAAAAATAATGCTTAAAAAAGATTAAATATAAATTAGACTATTATAAATTTAAATGATTTCGATATTTTATTGTTTCAGCTAATATTGAGATCAATGTACATGGAACCAAGCCCAGAGGAATTAAAAGAATTAATAAAGGAAATCAATCCAGAAAATCCTAGTAAGTTATTTTTAAACGTTTTATTATAATCTTACAATTGACAGTAACACTCAAGTTTATTTCAAATTGATCGAAGTCAATTATATTTACGACATAAATTTAACTGGTCTACTCACATACCAACTCAAATGTGGATTGATAACTTTACGTTGATAACGTTACGCCTTAGGTTAAAATTTTACGTTGTAATCTTCAAACCTAATAGAAATGGCCTTTGGGGCATTATCGCAAATCATATATAAATGTATTCATTACTGAGGTATAACCGGAAAACATTTTGGAAAAAAAAGAACCATTTTTCCATTTTTATATTAATTAAAGTTACAGTAAATTTGATTAAAATTTATCGATCATTGATGGAAGTGCAAAATGCACTCTGACACGTATTAAGTATTTAAAGTATTTAATGTGTCTGATGGAGTATTTATGCAAATTTGTATGTATAAAAAATATTGACATAAATATGTTCCTAGTTATGAATTGAGATTTTATTTAGTTGTTAAATAATTTTATTTTGACGTAAATATGGTTACCATAGTCTTAAATAACGTTTGTTTCTATAAAGTCTATAGTATTTTTTGGCACTGAAATTAATTATTATAATATGTCGATAACATCCACCGTATTTTTATATCATTTTAAATTAATTAGATTACGAATTCAATTCTTTTTCTATGCTATGTTTGTTTTATTATATCTACAAACTCATATTTGTGTATGTCAAACTTAGTTATAAAGAGTTTTGTTTTTAATTGTTACTTTTTTCTACATGAATTTATCTATTTTTATTTTTAGTTAAATATATTCCATTATTTTGTCAAATGTAAAGTATATTTTGTTTCAAAAATTGTGTACATATCTGTATAGTACCTGACTTAACTATATAGTCATTAAAACTATTATATTTAAAATGGTGTTTTGATTTAGTATTTATTACAGGGATAAATTTAATACTAAATGAATAAAATGTATAGAGGTACATATTAAATATATGTTTTATAAGGTATCAGAAAGGTACTAAACATATCAAACCCGATCAGTAATCAATTACAGCTGGATACTCTTTATTTGAGAGAATACGGCTTGGTAATCAGATAAAAATATCTAGCCCCAGTATCCGATATAGAGGTATCAAGCATTAGTATAAGTACTGTTCAAGTATCTGATAAAAGTAACTAATGCTCAGTGCATCAAGTGCAAATATCACATAAAAGTATCTAACGCTCAGTTTATCAAGTACGAGTATCAAGTAAAAGTATCCAATCCTCAGTGTATCAAGTACAAGTATCAGATAAAAGTATCTAACCCTCATTGTATTAAGTCCAAGTATCAGATAAAAGTATCTAACACTCAGTTTATCAAGTACAAGCAGCATGGCTTCCTCCGCCCTTCTTGGTGATACCGGTCTTGCTCTGCTAAACTGACGAGTTATCTGGAACATCTTTCTCGTTTTACCAGTTGAAATATATCTCATTTTTTCACATTCAATCATTTCTCTCTTTTTTCAAATATCTATAATTTTTTCAAAGCTCTCTGAACCATGTAAAATCAATTACTCAATATATTCACCTCAGTACTCGACACACTCACTACTCTACATTCTCACTAAAATATTTAATGTTCAATTTGAATACTGAATATTTTTAATTTGAATCAAAACTAATTAATTAGTTTAGAAGTAAAATTACATTTTTGGATGAACTTATCAGTTCGGAAATGAAGATTTTCTACAAACATTATTATGAATGAATATTATGAGTTAAAAGTAAAAAGAAGTATAACAAAATTATACTAAAATAGTAGATGTGAAAATGTATTTAATCATTTGAAGTATAAGTATAAAATTGTAATTAAAATTTATAAAAAAGTTATCATGTGCAAATAAGTCATAAAATTTAACATGGAAATAAACAGCAACAAAACAAAAATAATGAGGATAGCAAAAGGAGAAGGGAGAGAAGGCTCGGTACTTCGATTGAAAGGGGAGGAACTCGAGCACGTCAAAAACTTTAAGTACCTGGGAGCCCATCTAAACGAGAACGGCTGAATAGATGGCGAAATCAGGGATAGAATAAGACTGGCCAGAAAATGCTTCCATTCACTAAAAACAGGCTTCTTAGCAAAGAGAGAAGTGTCAACAAATGTCAAGAGACGGTGTACAAAAATACATTTGTTCCCATACCGGTCTACGGCAGTGAATCCTGGACTATAACCTCAAAACATAAAAGCAATATCCAAGCAATGGAAATGCGGTTTCCGAGGAGAATAGAGAGAAAAACTAGGAGGGACAAAATTAGGATTACAACGATAAGAATAAAATCAGCAGAAAACAATTGAGGAAAACCGACTACGCTGGTTTGGCCATGTCAAAAGAATGCAGGAGGGAAGAATGGCCAAAACTACATATGAAGTAAAAGTAGAAGGAAGAAGCCCGAAAGAAAGACCTGGGAAGGTTCAGTCAGGGAGGATTTCGATAGGAGAGGAATGAACTGAAATACACGCAGTCAGCTGGTGCAAGAACGAGATAAATAGATGAGGCTCTATAAACAGGATCCTTTACACTGATCTAGCCGTAGAAGAGGAATTAATTAAGAAGAAGAAGTCATAAAATCTGAACTAAAACTAATGAATTGTCAATTTTAGAGAGAGTTTATACCAATAAACATTACATTGAAAAAAAAATGCATGAATACATATTGCAAATAAACATTTAAATAAATGAATAGATAGTTTTAAAAAAATTGTGTACAACTAAAAATATAACTAATATATAACACTAATAACATTCCTCTTCTTTCTATATGGCAAGTCTGTACCACCATTTGTATCCATGTGAGTATATGTATCAGGTACTTTTGGGTTGTATCTACTGCTTGTATCAGCTACTTTTTAGTATCGGATACAAAGTATCTGATACAAACAACTTACCCACCCCTACTACCTATTGCTGTTAGTTAGATCAAACCATTTTGTGATTATTTTTACCCACAAAAATGAAGCACAGCTATAAAGAAAAATGTTCAGAAACTAATTAATATAAAGTACATAACTGTTTACTAATAATATTGAAAAAAAAAAGAATTATGATTATTCAAAGGCCAAGCATATGAATGTTTGTTGACAAATAATAAACCACAACATTCTAGCTTTTAAGAGGATTTAACAGGCTAAGTTCTAACTGCTTGATACCTTTTATTGTTTTAATTATAAAATGATATTAGCCTCATTACTGGGATTTCTTAAATGATGTATGGTATATTTTATATATTATTTTAAGTGAAGTATTTCATAAGCTGATGATGTTATTTGAAATTTATATGTTTTGTATTAATATAGTCCAAAATTAATAGATTTATGGTGTATATAGGTTATATATCACTTCCTGATTTAGGAAGAATTATTCAGATTAAAATGAAAGATAAGAGCTCAAAAATCGAACTTGAAAGGGCTTTCCAACTTATGGATAAGGAAGAAAAAGGTTTTATATCTATTGATGATCTTAGAAGGGTAGCTAAAGATATCGGTGAAGTTATATCAGAAGAAGAAATGCAGGTGAATTACATTGTTTTTCTTTAGAACTTTTAAGTTATAGGGATAATTAATGTACTTATATTAGTCTAAAATATTACTACATTTCAAAAAATTATTTTATTTATTCATGTGAAGAGAATTTAGTATAAATATTGTGTTGTTTTCGAAAATTCATGATGTTCCTTTACCAATTATTCATTTGTCTATTGAACTCGAAACTTAAGGTATCATAAATATATATAAGAAATAAAGATTGGACCATGTCTTGTACATGAACTTCTGCCTTTTATATTTTTTTCTTATAACCATATAATTACGAATTGTTAAGTAAGTTTGCATTTACCTAGGTTTATTACATAAGCTTTAATTAAAATTTTTATTTTATTTTTTTCATCTTGAATATTAATAATTTAGATACATTTTTTTTATCATATAAAAGTTGACAAAAACTGTTTATTTTATTCAAAATAAAAACACTAACTCTAATTTACCAGTGGGCACAAGATTTGAATTTTATCGCTCTGCTGTACAACATTTCTTGTAGCACCTTCATTTTTACTTCATTATTTGAATGAGATATCTATTTTTTCTTTTATTAATTTTTAGCACTGTTGATAGTCCTCATTCTTTTATCGAACCATTGGTCAAACTAATAAACAACATATTTTTTGATTGTTTATCCTGATTATTTGTCACCCTCATAATTTTAATAATCAACTATATCCCCATCTCTATATTTTTTTTATCTCTTTTATATTTCATATAAACTTGATCTTTTATTGTAATAATGTTCGGAATCTTAATTTTTTTAAGCATATATATTATTTATCAATGATGTATTAACATTTCTTATATATTTTCTCTGTGCAGGAAATGATTGATGAAGCTGATAGCAGTAATACTGGTCATGTTTCTAAAGAAGATTTCTTAAATTTTATGAACAAAGTTCAAGATAATGGCGTATAGTAATAACATTTCATTTAAATTTTGATGTAATCAAATATGTACTCCATTGCTAGGAGTTGGTAAAAGAATGGAACTTAATCTTGGATGTTTAATATTCTTGAAAAATTATAATACAATTGAAATATTAATTTCTTTTGTAATTCGATTTCTCTATATTTTATTAAAGTAGTGTTGAAATAAAATGAATATTCAGTGTTTCATTATTTTTAAGAGCTTTATTCTTAAGATCATATTTAAAATATTTTAATTGAATTTTAAATGTTTAGTAGAAATATAAATTTATTAATAATTCAGTGATTGGTATGATTCTCCCTGTGACATATTTTTGTTCGTATCTCATTTCTTTATTTACTTTTTTTTTTTTACAATATTTAGAGTTTACTCACTATAAAACCCATCTTCGTTATCTTAAAACTGTAGTATACAGAAGTATGTGCTTCTGATAAACAATTTCAATGTATTCCTGTCCCCGGCCTATTTGCATTATTTTGCTTTTCCTGGCATTGATGGTCATTCCCTTTCTTTCCAACCCAGCTTCCTATTCAGTTACAGCTTGTTGTAAGTTCTCTTTAATATCTGCTTTAAGGAAAATGTCATCCGCAAATACCATTACCTGGGCCAAGATTGTTCTTATATTCCATATTCCAATAGTAGTACGGGCTGTCCTCCGTTTGCACATTTTCAGGATTTCATCCATGTAAATCATAAATAGAAGGCGGCTCAAACTTTCCCCTTGCTTAACCCCTATTTCATTCGCAAAAGTATCGGACTCTCTTCCATTAATTCTTATTATTCCGTTGGAATCGTGATAGGTCGACTTTATAGCTTCTAACAATCCTTGCGGGATGTTTTTCCAGAAAGAGCATTCCACAGTTCTTGTCTAGGAATCGAATCAAAAGCAGCCTTTAGATCTATAAATACCAAGAAGATACTTTTTCCTCATTCCAATGATTTATCAATGATTGTTCTGAGTAAAAATATATGATGTTGGGCCTGACGTTGAGGTATGAAAGCAGCCTTTTCCTCTTCTAAGTCGTTCTCAACTAGCTTAGAAGTTGAGTAGCTCTCATAGCATCTTTTCTAATATAGAGGTACAGAGCTTGTACACAACCTGGGATAGACAGATCGGTTTATAGTTCTCGCATTCGTTAGCATTGCCCTTTTTCTGTTTCGGGAGAATTATGTTGTATTTCCACTCCTTAGGGATAGTTATTTCAGCAATTAACTTCTGAAAAAGGCACTGCAATGCTTTTAATAGTTCTATTCCATCATATTTGATAAATTCAGGGACTATGCTGTCTCTTCCTAATGCTTTCCCGAGTCTTAATCTCTCTACTGCTGCTTCCACTTCTTCTTTCCATATCACCTCATCATATTCTTCCTGTGTACTTTCTCTAATCATTCTCTCCTCAACATCTCCAGAAAAACTTCCTTGTTGTCCTCACCTTTCTAAACTGCCCTGGTCCCCGGTAATCAACCTACCTCCCTCATCCTTTACATTTCGTATTGGTTTGCTTGTATTGTCATTGCCTTATGCTTATACCTAACTTAAATATGTATTTTCAGTTTCGTAGCACTTTTAGTGTTTTAGCTAGACTGTTAACATACACACTCACAGGCCGTTTTGAGAGACTTTGTTATTTGGACTCAGGAGATCTCAAAATGTGGATTTCTGTTGAAAACTCAGATTCGAAAATCTGTATGATCATTATGCTTTCCCTTATTATATATTGCATATATAGGTAAGTGGAAGTAATTAGTTGTTAACGTGGGCTACCAAGGGAAAACTTTTTACAGCCAAAAAATCCAGGTTTTTTTGTTTTTTATTGTTTTTACACCAATAACTCTTAAATAGTGCATCAAAGTGAAAAACATACTCTTTCTGGAATATTAGATTTTTATAAACATAATAATTTGGTTAAGTGGTATAGTCAGTAACCACCGTCTACAATGCTTTTTAAACCAAATTTGTTAAAACTGAGAGAAATTACGATAAAAAATTTTCCTGGGTTTTTCCCAATAAATTTCCTGTTTCAAACCTCAATTTACTGTTCTAATATTCTTTAAATTAGCTGCCATTTTGGAGGTAGCATGATCTGACAGACAGGCTGTCATTTTTTAAATATAAATGTTATTAATATTCAAACAAATACAATTCACGAAATTTTGAAAATATTTCAATTTAGAATTGTTTAAAAAATAATTATTTTGTATCTTTTTGAAATAATTTATTTAAGATATAGGAATTCTGAAATAATAATTGTGAGGTAATTATTTCTAAAATAAATAGCTTTATTTCAGGAATCTTTAATCTTATCTTATATATTATTTCTAAAAGGTGTTTTTTGTGGATACGCCATAACTTCGTCAATTCTTCATCAAATCCAATAATTGAGCACTCATTTTGATATATTATCTTCTTACACAAGATATTCTTCTTCTTCTTCACATGCATAGAATAGTCATATCTTCCGAAATTTCATACCCTACTACTGAGCCACTCCATTCCCTGAAATTTCATATAGTAATACAAATATTGGTACTGGAATTAAAACCAATTCTGATATGGGTGTGAACTAGTCCAGAAAGTGCAAAATCATGACTATCACCTAGCAGTCACAATCCCTGTACTTACCATAATGTAAGTGCTAAAATTGATGTTTTGGGACTGCCACGAAAAAATATTAACTGACTTAGATGGACACTCTAGGAACCCACAAGCTGCTTGGCCACCATGGCCTCTGCTTAAAAAAGGAACACTCAAAGCTGCAATTAATGAGGCAATGTCAAGACTTTTTAGCTGGACCATGTCAAATGAAATGGAAGTGAACACATAGAAAACTGACTCAACTGTTCACGTTATCAACCAAAGTGTACCAGCTGTAAATCATTTAGAATAATGTTTCCTTGCCAAGAACCTATGCAAGCAAATATCTGGGAGTTAGGTTAGACACCAAAATTAATTGGAAAAGGCAAATTGAAGATATAGTGGAAAAGAACAGGCTTAAGCTTCTAAAATGCCTTGGAGGAAAGACATGGGAGCCAGCCAGGATGTTATGGGTCTTACATATAAAGCCTATGTACGTCCAGTACTGGAAAGGGTGGTTAGGGGTGGCAGCTAGCAGAACAAAGCAATGCGTTTAATCTTGGGTGCATCGCGCTCAACTCTTATTGCAGCTATGGAAACTTTAAAACCTTCTGTATGGAGCTCTACAATATTAAAAAATAAAGTTAGTTGGAATTCAGTCAGTGTTTCATTTCATGTCCCTTTTCTTTTTCTTATTTTTTTGTACTTATTGAACTAACAGATCGTTAACTGGTGGCGAAACCCGACATGTGAGTATTGAAAGATCATTTGTTTTTTTCAGGCTTAGAGAGCTACACAATGAGAGATGACGAATCTAGTAACGTTAAATTTGTGAGGGGAAAAAGAAATCCCGCCAATACCAAGTGACACATTGGTGTAGACACATATAAGCTCGCAGGATTACGGAAGGCGGTCTCTTCTTTTTTTTTTCCATAGCACTACAGCCCGATGTGAACCCTGACCCCTCAATGAGCCTTCGTCAGTTACCTCGATCCTGTGCAGCCGCTCCCCTCTACCGTACTCCCTAAAAGGGTCTGAGCATCTTTAATGACCGCTTCTAACCATCTTAACTTTGGGCTTCCTCTTCCTCTCGATTGGTCCATTTTCCTCAATAGCCTGCTTATCTCAGGCGACCACACTTTATAAAACGAAAACGATCGCTTCCTCAAAGAGTTCGTAAACTTGCCTATTATAGCGCTTCCTCCACTGGTTCCCTTCATTAATGGGGCCAAAATATTTCTTTCAAAGATAAAAAGTTCTTTCTCTTTGAACCACTCAAAAGGTCACGTATCTGTAGCACAGGTTAGTACCAGCCGTATTAGTGTTTTATAAAGTTGACACTTGGTCTGACGGGACAAGGCCTTACGGCTAAGGAGTTTTCTTAGGCCAATAATAATTGTAGCAAAAAGCAGCGATTGGCCTTTCGTATCCGTTGGTCGGTCTCAGAAGATATGGCATTTGAACAGCTAACTATTCAACCCAAATGCGTGAACTGGTCAACATTTTCGAATGTGAACGATCCAATTGTAAAAGGTTTCTTGATTGAATAGCCCGTTTCCGGGCTAGCTCTCAAATATTTAGTTTTTCCTGGTTGATAGCCCTATATCTGAAGCTTCTTCCATCATACAAAGAAAAACATCTTTTAACATTTTTTAAGGTTTTTAAAGATCTAGCTACAATGTCTATATCATCTTCGTAGCCAAGCACCTGTACCATGCTATCGTCAATGGGACCTATAGGTTCAATTCCAGCCTTTCTTATTACCCTCTGTAGGGCAAGATTGAATAATAATCAAGCTAGGGCATCGCCCTGTCTCAATGAGCTATTTGTGATCAATTCGGAGGATAAATCCAGTTGCACCCGGAATGCACAACTATCATCATTCATCGTTTATATTGGATTAGGTGGATGAGTTTGGATGGGGGTCCCGAATTCGCGCAAGGCTTCATAAAGCTTAGGCCTTTTAATGCTGTGAAAAGCGCTTCGGAAATGTATTAAAAAGATAGTTCATGGCCATCTTATACTCCACACCTTTTCCCAGAATCATACGCAGTCCGAATATCTGATCCACCTTAGAGTTATCCTTCTAAATCCTGACTGATATCTGCCAATTTCTCGCTTAGCGAATGGAGGAGCTTCGTGAAAAAACATTAGAAAGCACTTCATACGCGCATTGTAAGAGTGTAATGCACCATAATTATAATTGTCACATTTCAAGATATCACTCTTCTTGTGAATTGGACATATCATACCCTTTCTCCAATCATCGGGTATATCTCCAATTCAGATTGACAAAATTATATCATAAAGGGCTTTATACAGTGTTTTTTTCCTATTTCAGAGGTTCTGCTGGAATTTTATCATGACCTTGAGACTTGTTTTTATGCTTATTTATTTCTTCAATGACTTCCTCATATTCTGGAGGGTCAATAACTTCTTCTTTGCCAATGCTCATGCTCGGTACTGCTTCAATCCCAGTGTCATCACTTAACAATGAGTCGAATGGTCTTTGCCATCTTATCAGAACTTCAGTCCATTTGTTATTAAGGAGCCATCCCCATTTATGCAAGCCGTTATACGAAGTTTGAATCTATTTTACCAACTGATAGAACATTCTGACATCGTGCCACTTTATATCAACGCTGAAACACATTTTTACAATATTTTTCAAAACGCCTCAAACGATTTTGATTAAACTTGGTGCATCATTGTATAATTAAGTGGTTTTTAATATCAATCAGGTCTTATCCCCATCGATGTCACTTTACAGGGTTTAAATGCCCAATGTTCATACTCTAAAGTACCTTTAATATGGTTTATTTTAAAAAAATAATCATATCACATTATTTGTAGTTACGAAAAAATGCTAAATATAACTTTTGAATGAATTTGACAATTGAATAAACGAGAACAAAATAAAAATGCTTATCCAGGTCGAAAATGTATCTCCGGAAATACCCGTCAAAACTTTCTTGACTGAATTTTCCAGATACCAAAACCTCAAATTTCCACAGCCTATTTATTTTTATTCATCGTTAGCAGAGGGTTCAAAGAATATTTTGATTACAGTACGACTTTGACGGAAGGTTATTTTTTTATACAAGGTAAGCAAGGTACTTTCTGCTGGAAGACCGAAATTCTAGGATCCGAGGGGTGATAACTTATCCTATGAAGATACGTTTTTTTTTTTTTAATTGGTTAAGAAGTAACTTATGTAGGAACTTATTTGACTCATTTCAACAAATTACACCACAAAGAAATATTTTGTGTATTCATCGAAAACGCCTAAAATATATTTAATGATTTATAACAAGTTGTATTATTTATGTGGTAGGAACTGGTTTTTTTTTATTTACATTTCATTTATATTTAGTTAACTTTTTTAGACATTAAAAATATATAAATTTAAATTATCATAACACGTTGAAAATAGGGGTTTTGTCGCTCTCAGACTACTGTGGCAATTCCCTTAGGGCGGAGCGACCGGGGTAATTGCCCAGTGGCGCCGATCTGGTTGGGCTCTCCTTGAGGCACTCCTCATTACAAATTTAAAAAAAAAATACAAAACGTATGAAAATAATTAATTTTAGCCTACCAATAAAGCAACTATATTAGAGAAATGTTGCATGAAATAAAATCAAGTATTCTCCATAATATAAAACAGCTTAAGGAATAAATTTAATTTTTTTTGGAGGGGAGATGTCTTCATTGTCCGGAGGCGCCAGTCAATCTTCAGGGGTGCTCAAACCTTGTTAGAAATTAAAATAATTAATTTTAGCCTACCATTAAAGCAACGGTATTACTGAAATGTCAAATGAAATAAAATTCAAATATTATATAGTATAAAACAGCTTATGAAATAAATAACATTTTTTAGGGATGGTGGATGACTTCATTGCCTGGGGACGTCGAATGATTAAGGCCGAAACTGATAATGTTTCTGGCAGCTATAATATATAGTTTGGCGGTCTCTGATTTATTCCCAACGTATTAACCCACTGCTGTCTAAGGATTGAGGTAAAGATAGCTGAGGAATTGATAGAGGCAAAGCTGGCGTGCAGGGTAAAAAGTGGCATCTCGATTATAATCCAAGCCGGCGAGGAGCCCCATGGCCTGTAGTAGAGGAGCGCTTAATAGGCAGATGGAGGTGGGTGGAGAACGAACTGAATAGAGGGGGTGGTGCCACTTTAAACCCTCATATTATACCAGTATGTCTGTTCTTCCCCATTTTATGCTCTATTGATGAGACGTTTTCAAAGCTCTTTGTAACGAATAGTGTAATTTAATGGTATCAAAGGTTTACCTACTGATAAGGCTATGTAGATATTTGTTTACATTAGTTTTGTTGATGATTAATATGAATTTATTTTTAATATTATGGCATTATGGATTCATTTTGGGAGCATTTTTTTGTTTTCTTCCATTTTATCAAGTGAATGCGATTCGAAAATACTCTAAAGAAGACCTACTCAAATTAAGGTTTATTTTACCTTTCATTTAACTTCAAATGTGATGTTCACTTTGTTGAAATGTTGTTTGACTTTTAATGAATTTTTAGAGAGGAGGTGCGGCAAATGTTTGATCATGCTTATACAGGCTACTTAAAATATGCTTACCCATATGATGAATTGCGACCTTTGACATGTGATGGAATAGACACTTGGGGGAGGTAATGGTTATTTAGTAATACTTGTATTGCCTAACAGGTAGAGTAGATTTTTAAATAAAAAGAAATAATTAAATTGTTACATCCCAGTTTTAAAATAATTTTAGAGATTAAAGATATTTTTAAAAGGGTTAAACCGGAAGAAGGTAGATAGGAGGAGAGTAAAGTTAATAATTCATTAATAGACGTTTGAGAGCAACTTTTTAAATTAAAAAAAAGGAATTATCTTTGAAAATTTAAAAGTTGTCTGAATAATTAAGTATACAAATAATTGGGTACATATATTCTTGTAAAATTACTTATGAAAAAAAACTGTACTAAAGTAGAAATGTTACTCCACTTTCATGGATGGCACAAGATCACACTATAAATGCACAATCCCTTAATGCCCACTTTGATGAATTCCAAAAATATTTCATTGATAATTTTTACCACACAATAGCAGTATCTGAAACCTGGCTGAAACCTTTTATTCCTTCCTCCCAAATTTCCCTCCCCAATTACTCTTTCCTACGTCATGACAGACCTGATCGCACGGGAGGTGGTGTCGGACTATATATACATAATAGTCTCAAGGCCAAAATCCTCTTACAGTCTCCTTTTCATGACCTCCCTCACGTTGAATATTTATTTGTTGAAATTACCGCTATTTCCTCTCCTCTATTGTATGTTGTTGTCTACCGCCCTCCTCGCGTTCTATTTGACCAACTCTTTGACTCCTCCCTTGTCAACCTGGTTACTTCCTACTCCAATATCATCATCTCCGGCGATTTTAATGTAAATATGCTCACAGAATCTCCCGACAAATACTACCTCAATGACCTAATATTTTCTCTCAATCTTTATCTTGTCCCTTATTCTTCCACTCATCACACTCAGTTCTCTGACACCTGGTTAGACCTCCATATCTCTGACTCACCGCTTAAAATTCTTTCCTCCTCTCAACACCCTGTACCTTTTCTATCATCACACGACCTGATCCAAATCTCGTACGACCTACCCGTGAAATCATTTACTCCCAAAATAGTATCATATCGCAATCTAAACCTCCTTTCATATGAATCCCTTCAACCTGACCTGGATTCTGCCCAATGGGATACCATATTTTCCTACACCTCCATTGACCCTATGATATCCACCCTTACCTCAAACCTACAATCCATATTAGACATCCATGCTCCTCTGAAAACCAGAATCTTACGTCGTCCCACTGCTCCTTGGCTGACTCCTGAAATAAAGGGAATGATAAAGAGAAGGAATGCAGCAAGGCCCAAATACCATCAAACCTGCTTACCTGCTGATTATGCATCTTTCAAACAACTCCGTAATGCAACCCAATCCACAATCCGACTTGCTAAATCCAACTACTTTCATAATACCCTTTCCAATGCTCCCGATCCCAAATCAAAATGGAAAATACTTCGTAATCTATCCCTACCAGATTACAATAACCTCATTCCCTCCCTGTGACTCCAGATGATCTTGATGACCATTTTTTATCTTTTGCTTCTAATCCTTCTCCTACTCATGATATTGAACCCCATAATTTCAATCCTGAAAACTTCTTTTTTTCCCATGTGTCCTATGACGAAGTACTTTCCACTATACTCAAATCCCACACCAATGATTATGGTCCTGACAATATTCCAGTAAAACTAATAAAATCCAGCCATCCTACCCTTATTCCAGTACTTTATCATATCTACAACTTCTCATTGCAAAATTTCACATTTCCCTCTTCCTGGAAAACTGCACTCATCCGACCATTGAGTAAAACATCTAACCCTTCCTCACAGAACGACTTCCGCCCTATTTCTCTTCTTTCCAACCTTTCAAAACCACTGGAACGCCTTGCCCAAAATCAACTTTCCAACTTCCTAGAAGAACGTTCCTTCATCAATCCATTCCAATCTGGCTTCTGACCCGGCTATTCAACGCAATCTGCCCTCCTTAAAATAACCCATGACCTCCAAAACTCCATTGAACACCAAAACCTTACTATCCTCATCTTTCTAGATTTTTCCAAAGCATTTGATACAGTTGACCATAACATCCTTCTTACCAAATTGCAAAATCTTCCTCTATCCAACAGTGTCCTATGTTGATTCAAATCCTTCCTTTCCGATCGATCCCATTATGTAGTCGTCCCAGATCAACCTCCTTCAAAGACACTTCCCCTCTCCTGTGGTGTCCCTCAGGGTTCCTCCTTATCTCCTACTCTGTTTGCTATTTACATTAATGACCTTCCCAACCAAATCCATCACTCCCAATACCACATCTATGCTGACGATTTCCTAATATACCTTTCCTTCCCCCCTTCCGACCTATTAGCCGCCACAAAAAAGCTTCAAGAAGATTTAAATAGAATATACGACTGGGCAGGAGTTAACAAGTTGAAGTTGAATGCAGAAAAGACCAAGGCAATCCTAATGGGCTCCAATCACCTCCTCAAAACTGTTCCTAACTTTCCAACCCTCTTTTTACATGATAATCCCATTAAATTTTATCCCACCATCAAAAACCTTGGAATAATCTTCGATCAAACCCTTACCTGGAAAATCCATGTGTCCAATATCTCCCGACGTTCCACCCTAAAACACTTAAATAGCCTGCGACACCTTTTTCCTTTTGAAATCCGTAGACTCCTGGTCACCTCTTTAATATTTCCCCATTTCGACTATTGCTGCACGGTATATGGGGGCGTCTCTGAAGATCTCGAGGCGAAACTAAAACGTTTGATAAATTGCTTCGTACGATTCATCTTCCGGATCCCAAGAGACGCTCCTGTTTCCTGTTTCTATGAAGAGTTGAAGTGGCTTTATCCTTCCAACCGCCGTAAGTATTTCCTGGCATCCTTCCTCTTCCAAGTAAATCACTTCCGCTGTCCTTCATACATCGCCGAGCTCCTTCAATTTAAATCCTCTGTCCACTTCCGCAATACCCGTTCGCGGTCCTCAGATCTAAATATAATGGCCCACCGAACCGCTGCTTTCGATAAATCATTTATTATTCGATCCTCTTCCCTATGGAACACCATCCCTCCCCACATCCGTCAATCCAAAACCCTTCCTACCTTTAAATCCCAACTGTTTAATCATTTCTTATCCATCCAGTCCTCATCATAAAATTGTAAATAGTTACTACTGTAAATATGTATATAAATTATTAGATCGTTCTTTATTATTTTTACTTCATGTTTATTTTCAATTTATTATTTTTATTATTAACTGATGTAAATTAGAAAGTAACTTATAATTTCTCTAAATATTTTTTATTTAATTTTTTTTTTTTTTTACTATTTAATCAAACTATACTCTTGTTTATGTATCTCTGAGGCTCCTTAGCCCACATTTTTGTTTCTCTGTATTATTCTAAAGAAAGAAGAATAAATAAAGCATTATTATTATTATTATTATTATTATAAATGGGATCCTGTGAATGATCAAGTATATCTGAATGTACACAAAAGAGACCTAATCTTTATTCTATTAAGGCCCTGGCCTTGACTGAAAAGGACGCATTAGGAGTTTGTTGAATGTAATCAAAGCTAATTAACACTGAAAAGGAATTTTAACAAACAAATTTTAACTGAAAAGGACCAGAAGGAAGTTTTTTGAAGTTGTGAATCGAGATTTAAATCTAGGGAGGTTGTCTCTTAAAATTAAAAAAACAAAAAAAATCAAAGCCTCTGTATTCTTCCATGTAAATAAGTTTAATACATTTGACAAATCATAGCATTACTTTCATTTGGCTCTTTTGAAGTTCTTATCAGTCTCCAAGAACTAGACCCCCGGTTATTTGTAGCTTCTATGATGATACCCTTGCACACTTGTTATTTTGATCCCCTCTTGAACACCTACAGTAGTCCGTGGGCCAGACTCCCTATCGTGCACTCTCCCACATCCCTATAAATTGCATATCATTGTGTTCCTTGTAACTATTTATTAAAAAAAGCCTATATTCCTCCAAAAAAAAATTTAACGCACTGTCCCAAAACAGCGTCCAAAGATGGCAGATTGACGACTTTGACTTTAGTTAGTTTTTTGGTCTCAGAATCAGCATTAGGCTTAATTTCCTCATAGTTGTTCTTTTATTAAAGCTGAATAATCAGAGAATAATAAAACATGAATAAAAAACACCAGTAAAGTCAATTTTTTTAACAAACAAATTTTCTAGTTGAAAATAAAGCGCGGTTTGTAATTAAACGGGCAACAATAACACAAAATGTGCTGAAATACAACATCTGGAGAATATATTTCTCTTTCAAAAACACTGATCACTTTTTATAATATTTGAAGCAGTTCAGTAGAAAATGCACTTATGGGGCAGAAAAGTGGTGCTGGCGTCGGTGCCTACAAGCCTCTACCACAACATTCAGTACAAAAAACTTTGTTTGTTAAAACAAATTGACTTTGCTGGTATTTTATTTACCTAAGCCAATTATTTTTCAATATTTGTTCATGTTTTATTATTCTCTGACTATTCAGCTTTAATAAAAGACCAACGATGAGAAAATTAAGCCAAATGCTGATTCTCAGTGACCAAAAAACTAACTAAAGTCTAAGTTGTCAATCCGCCATCTTTGGACGCCATTTTGGGGCAGTGCGTTAACTTTTTTTTGTGAAAACATTGGCTTTTTTTTAAATAAATAGTTACAAGGAACATAATGATTTGTAATTTATAGGGATGTGGGGAAGAAGGGGGAAGGGTGCACGATAGGGAGTCTGGCCCACCGTGTACAACTTTTTCTGCTGCTTTTTAAATTTCTTTCTTTCTGAAAATTTTTCATTTAATGTTTGTGGGTCCATGTGTGTGTTCACTCAAAGCCAATATAGTTATATCAGGCTATTAACATGCTATGTAATAACATGAAACATAATATTTGTGAAAATAATTTTTATAATTAATAAAGTTTCTTATGATTTTAGTTATTCCTTAACTCTAATTGATGCTTTAGACACACTTGCTGTGATGGGGAATTATTCAGAATTCAAAAGAGTTGTTGATATTGTGACTACAAAGGCTAATTTTGATGCAAATATTAATGTTTCTGTGTTTGAAACGAATATACGGATTGTAGGAGGTTTGTTGAGTGCTCATATGCTTTCCCAAAGGTAAGTGAAATATTACTGAATCTGCTGAAGGTTTCTGATTTCATTGTTATAGACACTGTTCAGTTTGGTACTTATAATATTAGGCATTTGTATTAAGTGTTAGATCGCATGTTACATTTGTTTCGGTTATAAGCTACCCTGGAGATGTTCCTTTCCAGTTTAGCGCCAAACACTTTATGGTTAACAACCACAAATGACCAAAATTCCTGCTTATTAAAGCAATGAAAAGGACCTGTTAGGAGAAATCTACAGTTGTGGTTCTAATTAAAGCAGTAATAATTTCAATAACCACTAATAATCCCAATGAACCTTATAAGATAAAAGAAATAAGCCAAGTAATATAAAACAAAGAAGATACAGTTATGATGTTATGGTATAACCCCACAAAATGTGTCATCTAATGTGCCATAAAAACCCTCAAATAGGGGGCAAATATGCAGAAAAACAATCTCCAAATATACAATAATAGAACTGAAATATGCCATTACATTAACCCTTTGACTGCAGGAGCTGATTTGAGTGTTTCTACTAGATGGCGGGTCCTGAAATCCAAAAGGACATTCAGAAAAACAGATTTTTTTTTTTTTGCATAAATTTATTTAAAATACTATTTTGTGTCTTCCTACAAGATCTTAGCTTTCAAAAATGCATTTTAACCTTTTTGTTCAACTTTTTATAAACGGGACATATGCCTTCCCGGACGCAAGTAGCAATACAAAATTAGAGTGGCGATCCCACAACACTTCGCTTTCTTGCACATTTCTGAAAAACAAAATAACTGAAAATTATCATAAAGTAATTGTAAGTGATCATAAAAATTAAATTATATTATTTCTAAAAAAAAACTAACGGCGGGAATCGAATTATATATTTCTCAGTATTTATAATTTTTTTTCTTACTTAAAAAAGTTCCATATTGAAACATAGTTATAAATTTTATTATTGCACTTACATTTATTTTGAGTTTCAAACACTTTTATTTTTATATGGAATGTATATATTGTTTTTAGGTATATAGAAAAATGATGAAATAACTGAAGTATCATTTTAATTCTGTATCTTTTTATATTTATTAATTTTTACTATTACATTTTAATTTTTGTATATTTTTACATTTATTTATTATATATATTTCATATATATATAATAAATACACACACACACACACACATATATATATATATATATATATATATATATATATATATATATATATATATATATATATATGTAGGTAACTTACATTTATTTGTTTAGTAGACAGAAATTCACATGTACCAAAATCAGTATTTAGTCAAAATCTAAATTAAAAAAAAATATATAAAATGAACCTTTATTTGATGTATAAATCATTTAAATAGAATATAAATAAGATCATGGATATGACACAAATAACAGAGAAAGGGCATACATTGGGTTACGAATAAATCTGCAACTGATAACTTCCGAATGGTCAGGTCCGGAACGACCGCAAGAGTCAGCTACAGAAGACTAATGAATGCACCGCCCAAGCCACAAGTCCAATGGTGAAGACGGAACTTGTCCCTATCTCTTTAAGTGACTACAGGCAAGAAGGGAAGGCAGATATCTCGTCCTCATCAGTGACCCAACTCCTAATGGGCAAGTATGTATGACCATCCGCAGTCAAAGAGTTAATGACAATACAAAAAGTTACATACAGAAAAGAATTTATAGTAAGGATTAAAAATTAAATAATTTTTTTCATTATTTTTTAAAATTAAATATTAATTAAATAAAATGTTTTTTATAGACTGAAATTATTAAAAAATATTTTTAAAAACAGGAAATATAATAATATATTCATTAATTGATGTTTGAGATATATTTATTATAGGAAAATGATTTTTCTACATCAATATACTTGATAGGAGTAAATTTAGAAGAAAAGAAACTTATTTTACACAATAGAAACAAAAACGAACCTTTTTTTTACTTATGCAAGGGTTGGTCCAATATTTCACCTTTGAAGAAAATATTTTTAAAATAATAAAAAATATAACCACTTATAAAGACTGAAGATGGTGTTTAAAATTTTAAATTGAATAAGAAGGGGAAATAAAAAAAAAACAGGAAATGAACAAAAAAAAAATTATATTCAAAGAACATAATTGTTTAAGGTAGTGTTATCTTGTTAATTTGTAGTTTTTTGTTGATTGCGTGGGCAGAGTGGCCGAATAGGCTAACGCGTGTGCCTGGCAACCTGATATATGACTCAAATGATATAAAAATAGTCATGAGTTCTCGTTCCGGTGCCGAGGAAGTCTTTTAAATCTTTGTCCACACCACCTGGCCCGGGAAAAACCCGTATAGCCTTAACGGCGAGGAAGGGGAGGACTCCCCCCCCCCCAAAAAAAGAAAAGAAAAGTTGTTTGTTGATTGAAAATGAACCTATGATTGTGGTATGGAATTTCGTCTTCATTATTATTTTTATATATTATTATTTATTTGGAATAATATGCAAAATATGCAATATAAAATTTGTCTAATAGCATCTGAGTACACTGTTTCTGAAAGATATTTGATCATCAGTTTAAAAACTGCATGCTAACAAAATATGCAATTGCATAAAAATCTGGACCATGGGTGTAACTTATAACAATTGAACATATTGTCGACCACTTAATGTTTACAATGTCTTCCAAAAGTTTTCACTATTCAGGAAATGTATTTCATTAGTTAAAAATACTTGTTGTCCTGAAAAATAGGTTCATTTTATTCATTTATTTTTAGAAGATGGAAGAAACAATGAAATAAACCATAAATAATGATAAAGACCATTCCAGTTTATTTTTAAAATAAATATTTGTCTATATTTTAAACAGCACCTCATGACAGATTTTGCTATGAACACAAAAAAATAAATATGTTAACCTTAATTTTTTACTTATTTTAATAACCAAAATTTCTATTAAATTAATTGCGCAAAATTAAAGATTATTGTTGCTTTTCAAACAACGCATAATTCTTTCAGGTATTGAATATATTAGTTTTGTTATCTTTCAGTTCAATTTGTTTATTTTGTGCTACTTATTCCAATGCTGATCCAAATATACCCTCAGATTTTCAATGGGTTATATTTTAGGTTTACCAACAATTTAGGAAGAATTAAAAAGTAATCAATTCTTTATCTATACTATGTGTTTCGGGTCTTCATGCCAAAATTCAAAATTTTCAAGGATTCTTTCTTTATGAGCACTGGATTTCAAATTATGTTTGTACGTATCCATTTTTGTCTATAACAGATGGTATCCCAATGCCAGTGGCTGGCTGAAAATTTTTATAATTTTTTTTTATTGTCTTTATAAAAGTTTTTTTATTCAAACTCTCCTATTAAAGTTGTGTTTTATAATTATCTTTCCAAATTAATTATCATAAAATTTTGATGAATCCTTTTGTCTGTCACAGTATCTAATCATTTAGTATTATGGGCAATCCTGCTTTGTACGTATCATCAATTGTTTGTTCATTCTCATATTGTTTAATGATATAATGTACAGTTTTATTATGGTGTTCCAATGGTTACATTATTTTCGTATTTTTTTGTTCACAAAATGACATTCAGTTATTGATTTAAAGATCCATTTTTCCCTAGCTTCTGGGCATGATTGGATTGCAAATACTGGATAGAAAATGTTGTATTCATTACTAAGAATAAATAAAATAATCCTTTCTGATATTGAAAATAAATAAAAATTTTCTTAATTATCCTGGGTCGATGTCCCTCAAGAACAAAATTAAAATAACACTGCATAGTAGCCAAAACAGTGTGAACGGACTCATTAATCCGGGAAAGGTATTGCTGTTACACCCTAAGTTAAAGGTATTGCTTCGTGAAATGTACGAAGTCCCTTCTTAGACATTTGTTGGTTTTTTTTTTCTGATATTATAATTCTTATAAAACTGTTTATTAACCGTTTTATGATATATTTAGCTAGACCAATCTAAGCAACAATAACTATAACCGTAACAACATAATTAATAAGAAAATAGAAATCAGTTCGCCAAAATGAATTCAGAAAAGATTTTCTTATGTGGTAGTGTGGGATATAAAGATTGTTTAATGTTAAAAAAACAATTGTTTATTTTATGTAATATAAAAACATAATAAACATATGTGATAAAATATCATTATTTCAAGAGACATTAGTAGATACACTCTAGAGGGCTAGATACATTTCAAAAACTATAAGATTATTAATCTAAGGAACATCAGTAAGACTAGAAATATTATAAAATACGAAGAGATCATTATTCTAAAAGAAACATTGTAAATGTAAAGAGATCGTGTAAAGATATGATATGAACAGGCACAACATAGGCTAGGGACTAGAGATATAATAAAAATAAAGAAAGCATCCTATCAATTACTTAGGTATAACATAAAAAAAAAAAATAATAATAATAGTAAATAAAATAAGAAGAAAATATCCAACATTATTTTAACTACTGGTATATTACTATTAACAGTACAGTTTGTCGCCAGAAGGCAAAATACCATGTGGAAGGCCAAAAAGCAAATGGATAGATATAATCAACAAAGATGCAATAGAGCTGCATGCAGATAAATGGAAAGAAATAGCCCAAGAAGGGCAGAGATGGAGCAGGCTTGTTGAGGTGACCAAAGATATACATGATCTGTAGCGCCAGCAGAAAAAAAAAGTAGAAGCTATTTTATTGACATAAATGATAGTAGTTTATAATGTAAAAAATAATGAAAATAATTTTTATAACGTAAATAAAATATTTTAAACAATCCATTAATGTACTTTATATTAATTATCCTTTGGGTGCTAGATTACTAGATGTACTGGAAAAACGAAGGCCAGATTACTGTACAGACTATTGTATTTTATAAATGGTAACAGCAGTTTGTGCAAGAATATTTTTTGATATATGTTAACATTTTTAAAGTTATGATCTGAGTAGGATGTTTTATATTGAAAAATAGAAGAATTATCTCTGTTAATTTGAATACTCTAATTTTAATAACGGAAGCAGGCTAGCTCAGTGCATAAGGCTCTTATTCTCAATGACACAGGTTCGAGTCTGGCTGTGGCAGATAATTATTAATTCTATTTCATCTACTGTGGTTTAACCGTGAGGTCAGGAGACCCTCTTGGGGCACACTTAGTCACTATAAAATGGGCATACTTAATTAATTAAGAGGAAAACATGGCATTTAAACATTACCACGACTCAATCACGTCCCTGCACAACTGTTGGCCTTAAAACAGTACTGTCTTACAAAGTACTGATCCCAAGATCTTTTATGAGTTGTAGTAGTACAGTTCTTTTTATTTTAGTAAAATTGTGATTTCCTTTAATCCTCAGAAGGAGAAATAATATTAACTACACCCCCAGAATTGTCCGTCCATTTTGTCTAATCAAGAAAAATTGTTTCTAAATGTGGTCTTGGATATATCACCTTTTTACAGATCACAATACAATATATATATATACATACACTATATACAACTTTAGCAAACTCAACTTTGACTATTTCAGAGGTGTAACTGTCTTTGATCAAAGTTGCAATATGATACTCATTTGAAAAATTTGAATCTATAAGTTCAACTCTAATATAGAGAGCGACCATAAACGCACTTAAACATAATGTTTAGGTTATTTGATAGACCTCTTAAGGAGGAAAAGTGTTTATCATCTGTTGTTCCTATTATTTTCACTACCTCCTAGGAAATAAATGCAACTTCTCTTTATTATTTACAGTTTCCAATGAATTAATGGGGTTTCGTCCCTTATTAATAAAACACAGTTGTTGAAAAAAAATATATATTAATGGTGGTGGTGATTACAGGTGAATAAAATTCTCCTGCTTAAAAAGAATTTAATTGAGGCAAACATTATGTATAATTGAGTTTACGCCTACCCACCATGTCAGAATGGCACTTCTATACTAGAATCATTTTTATTTTCTATTACGGTTTTGTTGTATTTGAATTTGATGAAGCTTGTTTTGAGGGCTGGAGTTGATTTGGAGCCAGGATGGCCTTGCAATGGTCCTCTTCTTCGACTAGCTGAAGACGTAGCACGCAGGTTGCTAGCCGCTTTTGATACACCTTCCGGCATGCCCTATGGAACAGTAAATCTTCGTCATGGGGTTCCACCAGGAGAGACTACTGTAACATGTACTGCTGGGGTTGGAACTTTTATATTAGAATTCGCTACCCTTTCGCGTTTAACTGGAGATCCAGTCTATGAAGAGGTAATCACATATCAACAAAAATGATTAATTATGCCCCTGGTTAATTTTTTTTTAAATTTTACTTAGTACTTTATAGGTCAGTCTTCGTGCACTAATTATTTTTATTTACTTTAATATATAATTAAAAAATGATGAAATTAACTCTTATTTACTCTTAAAAAAAATGGCTATTGAAGCCTTATTTGAACTTGATTATCATGTTTTTCACGATTATTGAATAAATGTGTAAATTTGTCCCTGGCCATAGTTTTTTTTTATTTGTGGTCCTATTAAAGTACCTTCAAATATTTTGCATACACAATTATGTTGATTGATGAGGGCTAATTTTCTATGTAATGAAGATATGAATTCATTCTTGGGCTATATGATTGGCACCTATTGGATTTTATGTTTCCCTAGCTGGAAGTTTATAGTATCATTTTCACAGTATAGTAACTTTATTAAAACATCACTGAACAAAGCAAGATAAAACTAGAAGATTTCTTTCCATCGTGGAGATGGATAGCCTTTAAACTACAAATGTTTTTTTGTAGATCTCTGTTATTATTTCATACCTTTATTAAATAAGTATGTACAAGTAAACATTTTGGAATTAAATACATAATTTTTACAGGTGATTACCATGAACATTTTTGTTAATGTTGTTTTATTTATTTAATATTTTTATTTAATAGGTTGCTCTAAATGCTTTAAACTCACTGTTTGAAAGACGTTCTGGAATTGGACTATTTGGGAATCATATTGATATCTCAAGTGGCCGTTGGGTAGCTTTAGATTCAGGAATTGGTGCTGGAGTTGATTCATTTTTTGAATATCTTGTTAAAGGTGCAATACTTCTGGATAGACCCGAACTTATGGCTATGTTTAAAGAAGTCAGGAAGCCAGTTGACAGGTTACCTAATTTAATATTTAATTTTTTTTTTATCTTTTGTTCATCTATTTCATTTTATATGAATGCTTTTTCAAATAATGAAAGAATGATAGCTAATTATATACTATCTTGTAATATTGAATTACTATTTATACATATTCATCTTAACTAGGAAAGCTTAAAGATCATTTTTCAAACCTCATTTGTAAAATTTTTGATATTTCATGGACACAGAATAGATGCTCTACAATTTTTATTCTATAATTTTTTGGTTTATTATTTTCATTAATGAACCTTTGTAATCATTCAAAAATCAAAAAAATTATCCTCCCATCAAAATTTAAGGTTTTATGTTTCACGATATGTAAGATTCGAAAATCGAATACAAATTTTTTTGTCCATCTGCCGTTCGCTGTCCATCATATGCCATAGACTGTAGCGCCTAAACGAATATGCCAATTTCAATGAAGCTTGGCTAAGGTCGTCTCCTCAATGACCTTAAAATTTATCTATATAACGCACTTCAACGAAAAGAAGCTGAAAAAAGATTTCCAAGGGGTGGCAAATTACATTTCTAAATAACTCAAAAAGTATACAATTTTTTGTCAATGTTATATATAGTTATTTAAAAGTTTACAAATTTTACTTAAAAAACAAAATTCCTCGAAATCGAACAATTTGGAACAAAGATATGGTGTTTTAAATATGTTTTATATGTTCTACTGCAGTGCTTATATCTTTTGTTTTAGTTTTTGATTTTTTGAAAGTTTCACATCTACTGTAGCAATGTTGTATATTTTTAAAGCAAATTATCAATGATAAAAAAGAAAATTATAAAGGCTAATGTTCGGAATCCATTTTTATTTATCTTCCTTAATGTTACATGGAAAGTAATCTAAATTTTGATATTAAATTGTTTGGAAATAATAAACCATTTTGTAATAATTTGCAGCGTTTTTTACTATACCTTTCCCTGATGACTATTTCAATAAAATCAACTTTTCTGGAGTATGTTGGTTAATCTAATTGACTATATTAAAAAATATTTCAGATCAAAACCACACAAAAAAAACTGGGTTATAATCATTTAGTTTGACTTCCTTAGCGAATACTTTAGTAAAATATGTTGTCTGTGAACCTTGCGTTTTTCATTTGCAGAAATTTAAAAAAAATAAATAAATAAAGAATTGATGACATTGATCAAAATACTTAAATTACTATTATTAAATACTTATTAGTAGCATTCAAGAAACTGTTTTGTGCATATGTATTCATATCCAAAGCCTGCCTGATATATAGTTTATAGAAGTTTATTCATGTTGGATGTAAGCAGGCATATTTTTTGAGAGAAGTGTAGTGGTGGTCGATTATTTTTTGAAAATCACAAAAATTGTAATAACATTAACATGACTCCACCTGTCCACTCAAAATCAAGTAAGAATTTAGGTTCATGTAAGATACACCAAATGGTATAAACATGAGGAGAAAATCCTGAAAAAGAAAAAAGAAAAAAAAAATCCTGAGGAGTTTTGAACACTTTAGTCAACGGCATGAAAAAAATCCTACCTTAATATTGAGTCCAAAAATTTATGTTTGTTGCTTTCAATATAAATGGATATTTTTAAAGGATGTAAGAAACGATGATGAATTTCTTTTTCATGATAAAAATTTACTTGGTCTGCTTTACTGGAAACTTCTTTTGGTATTTGTAATTATCTAAATATGAATTAATTTAATATAATCAGCAATATTTTTTTCTTATTTTTCACAAAAAAACAAATTAATTGGTATCAACATATTAATAACCGATTAATCAATACAGAGCAAAAAGAGAAAACAATAATATAAATTTTTTCTTAAAATTTTATATATTCTTTTTCTTAGTTGCTAGGGCACTTTGGCAAGAGCCTTAACATTTTACGAATCATAGTACCACTAAAAAAGTTTCGTTGAAATTGGTGACCCCACATCCAAAACCTCCCCATGTTAGACTTTTTTTACATATTTAAAGCCATCATATATGTGAAAAGCTTTTAAAATTTTGTCCAATTTCATTAAATCAATTTCGTAGTAACTGTTCTGGGATGATTCTGACCTATTTTTCTTTTACTATTCATCATTTAATTTTTGGCACATTTTAACATTTTTAGTCATAGTTTCCTCTAAAGCTTCCAACATTTTATCAGATTTCATTAAATAAGTTACCTAATAAGTGGTCTGAAACTATTCCAAGTGATTTTAGCCTGCTGTTGATTATGTATTTTTGCCACTTGTTGTGTTATTAGTACTGTGGCAGACTCCAGACTACTGATCCCGCAGTCTTTCTTTTGGCAGTATACTGTACTTCTTGCCAACCAGTCATATTTAATTTTTTCCACATCTCTCTTCTGTCAAGCAATGCATATTTTCTCTTCCATTAAAAATATAACTGTAAATGAATGAGGACTATAATAATTGAATTTTTTCATCTAGGAATATTCCTACTTATTTGGACTCATCCTGTTAAATTTTAGAGATTATTTTCCCAGTTAAGGCTGAATAAGCAATAGTTTCGCCTGAATTAATTTTTGTTCTAGGCACTGTATATATATATATATATATATATATATAAAAGAACTGCATCATATTATTATGGCTTTTATTATAAATTTATTCAAGGTGATTAATTTTTTTTTTTTTTTGAAGGTATCTGAAGAAAAACCATTGGTATGTTTGGGCATCAATGCATAAGGGACAAGTCACACTTCCAGTTTTTCAATCTTTGGAGGCATATTGGCCTGGTGTTCTCTCCTTAATAGGTTATTATTTTCATATAAATTTGTTTTCACTAAATCATATTTATAAAACATAGTTTTAATTAATAAAAATTTTTTTTTCATAAAAAACAGACTACAGAAATTGGGGAATCCTATCTATTCTAAGGGGATGTTCTTCCGTATCTATTTAAACACAGGTAGATTGTAAGGAAAATTGACATATACAAATATTTAAATTTTGTGTAGTGGTCAGGTGCCTCACACATTCTAAAGGAAACTGAAGACTCTTTTATCAGATGTTTACATGTACCAATACATGGGACGAAATATAGTTACCAGAAGCCGTAATGTGTAATGAATGAAAGGCATCCAACAACTACACCAAGTTTAAATATTAGTAGACATTAATTTTCCTTACAATCTCCTAAGATTTTTAATTAGAACATTTCCTTAGGGTGGACAGAATTTATCAATTTTTTAATTCATATATTTTTTTGAGATGCTTAGTTTTTCCAAGTATTGACAATTTCTATTCTGCTCAAATGATCAAGATCTTATACATGATATATATGATATGAAACCAATACAAATTTGAGAATAATTAAAATATAATAAAATATTTGTTTTCAGTATTTGAAATAAAATTGTTTCAAAATATTCAGTGAATTTCATTGATTCATTTGAACCATTTAACTTAAAAATTGTTCGAGCTATTCACTCCATAAATTGTTGTAAACCTTTTATTGGACAATTTAAAGTTTCCAAACACTCATGGGATCTAATTGAAAAATGTTCACCATTAATTAAACTTTTTTTTTATTGAAATTTACATGTATTAAATGATAAATACAACAAGTAAATATGAAACAAGTAGGCCTTTCATTTAATAGATGCCAATATGACTTACAATTGTTGACATAAAAATATAACCTTATTACAGATAACAAATTTGCTGACACCCGACTTACTGATTCATTGACTAACTGGAGCTACACCTTTAACTGAACTGAAGGATATATATGTACTAGTTTAAAATCTAACTTGACTGTAAGCTTAGCAAGGTTTTTACATCATTATCTGGAACAAACACTGCTCCAAAGCTAAGAAAATGCGAACATTTCAGTTCATCCTTTCTGGGTAAAGGTACATATTAGCCTAGCTCCCCTACAAATATCAGCTAAACTCATTATGGAATGAGAACTTCAAAAAATCTAATTTTAATGTCAGTAATAAATGCTAGCATACTTTTATTGTTTTTTAAAATTTTATTTATGAAAATAAAAGTACTTATTCCTTTATTCATTAATGAATCATGAAACCCAAAACTAGTTTCTGTGAACAACTAATGTGTTTGCTTACATTTATTTTGTGTGGTTTTTCATTCAAATTAATGACCATGCATGGATTCATCCCGCACCTAGCCTAGCATTTTTGGGTATGTTGGCGAGAGGAGTATCGACTTCATTTTAAAAAATGTTATATCTGTAGGTCATGTCTTGAAAAGCTCTATAAACCACTATGGATCTATTGTACAGAATATCAACTAGTGTGGACAAGGCTTAAGCTCTCAGTTGACCAAGATTGATATTTGATAAACAGACACATAGGTAATAGAATACTCAGTTGAAAAACTTTCAATTCCGTTTTATTTGAAGTACAATAAGCAGTTGGTGGAATTAGTTTGCAAGAACGAGATGTTACTTAATACACCCAGAAATATAATCAACAATTATTTATTTAAAATAATTTTGTCTGTGCATTTTTCCTTCAAATTGTTCCTAACTTTAAAAACTTTATTACACTACCATAAAAATTGATTGTACATGACAAAATATGATATCCTATATAGGAGACATTGACACTGCATTGAGGTCCATGCATAACTACAATCGAGTTTGGAAGCAGTACGGTTTTACTCCTGAATTTTATAATATAGCACAAGGGGAAGCTGGAAGTAACAGGTAAGCTAAATATTTCAAAATTTGTGTTGTCAAATATTTATTTCTAAAATAGGGATAATTCACTGCCCTATCAGGTATATGGTAGTTTAGTACTTCATTTTGGTCCATCTCTTCCTTTAAATATCATTGTTTAATTGATCAAAGTTAACTGAAAAATGTTATTGTTTTTCCCGTATTGTGCTTAATTAAGTATAGTTAAATATTTTTGTCCAATACCTTTAGGGATGGAATCTGAAAAATGGAAGAGCAATGAAAAATACACATCTCTTATAAACACTATCTGTAAAGATATGCTCAACACTTATATTTTGGTTTATTATTTTCAATAATAAAGTTTTGTAATCGACCAGGAAAAAAAAAAGTTAACTACCCCTCAAAATTTGACCCTTAACATTTCAAGATATGTAGAGTAAAAAAAAAAATAATAATAAAATAAAAATATTAATAAAAAAAATGGGTCCGTACACAATCTGCCGTCCACGGCTTTTCTCCGTGATTACCAGACCAATTGTTTTAAGATTTGGTATCAATGTAGAACTCGGCATTATCATCTGCTCTTTTCTTTTAAGATGACAGCTGAAAAACGTGAGTCGCCATAGACCATAGTGCCAAAATGGATGTACCAATTTCGATGAAGCTTGGTTCTAGTCTCCTCTTTCGAAGCCCTTTAAATTTTCCTATACAACATACTTCACCGAAAAGAAGCTTGAAAAAAGTTATGAGGCGTGGTAAAATTAGATTTTCAAATAACTCAAAAAATATACACTTTTTTGTGATTTTCATTTTAAGATTTTTTAAAGGTATTTTCAAGTGTTGCAAAGCTATTTAAATAATATCATATGGTGGTGAGTTTTCTCATAAAAATGTTCATCGGTAAACTGTTTTAATATTCGGTGATTATCAACTGATTTCCTTTTTTTCAATGTTTCTGAAAGTTGTTTTACTTAATACTGGAGTTGGTAATTTTTCAATAAATGACAGATAATGGGTAACAAATAATTTTTATAAATAATCTGAATATGAGTATATACTGTGAACAGTTTATCTGTTATTCAACTAAACTTCACTGTTCATCACATTTTTGTTCTTTATTTATTATCTGCTATCAAAAACCTAATTAAGTACTTAAATATTTTTACTTTCACTTACTATATATGAAATATATAGTAAGGGACAGTATTACAATCTTGAAAATTTTCGACTCTGAGTTTTCAATGAAAATATATGTTATGAAAATGCTTATCCAGGTCAAAATTAATCTCTGGAAATATTAGTCAGAAGGTATAGGTATAATATATCGTTGGAAAGCAGAGAATTTCAGAAAAAAAAAAATATCTAAAATAGGAAGTTGTAGAAGGTAACAGAGAGTGGTGAAAAAATTATAAATAATAATTTTTGAAAACTAATATTATTTAAAGTAAACCACATGTTTTCAAGAAAATTAAATGAAATTTACTGTAGTTTAATAACTCTAGATCTGATATTATATTTAAATATTTAGGTATCCATTATCCGTTTATTCCAAAAAATCATCATGTAACCTTTTATTAAATTAAATTAGTGAATATGGTTATTTTAACGGTATTTATGATTTGTTTGCTCTAAGCTTTTAGCTTTAGCTCGGTTAAAAATGCAATTCAAAAATTTTATAATAGCCCAACGTGATCAGAAAATTATTTCTATTCAAAGTTGAGCGGTAAGTGAAAGTTGTGTGTGCGTGCACCAGATTTTTTATTATGGAAACCTTTATTACAAATAGCTCATTTCTATTTTGAAAAACTGATTTATGATAATTTTAGACTTTCCTACCCTTGAAATTTCTGAAATTGAAAATGATATTGCAATTTATTTGACAACTGCACAATGTTCAAATGTTTTAAAGTATAGGAACAAGTTAGTTCTTAATGTTGATGAGAAAGTTATTATGTTATTTATCATTTATGATCTGGTTTTCTCTATTAAAATTTAAAACAGACCTTTTATTGAAGGTACTATCATATAAAATATAACTTTTTTTAATTTTTAGAGAAAGTTATCCTCTCCGTCCAGAACTTGCAGAATCAGCAATGTACTTATATAGAGCAACAGGTGACACTTTCATGTTGGACATTGGTCTTAATATACTCCGCAGTTTACAGCATAGTGCTAAGACTCCATGTGGTTATGCGACGGTCAGTTGTCCTATCTATTTTAAAAACTAATTTTGCAAATGTTATAAAATAAAATGTTTAATTTTAATTTATAATCTTGGAAATAATGGCAGATATGATTCAAAATACAAAACAAATTATTTATTTGTAATGATCCCTTTTTTATTGAGTATATGGCTTTGGAAGAATAGTGTATGTTATAGCACCCATACAAAGAATTAATATGTGTTTTATGATAAAACTTATTTTCTTTTCTTCATTAATGACCATTTCCATTATTAATGAATTATTTTGTTAAGGACTGCCTTGAGTTGACAATAAAAATGCAAAAAAAGAATTTTACTAAGTTCATTCAATTATAATTTGCCTTTAAAATTGTGCTAGTTTTTTATATTTTTATTATTTAGTGAATCATAAATTTTAAGAGATTTTTAAAAGTTTGATGACTATAAAATCTTCGCAAATATAAAATTAAAATATTTTTCTGTAATAGTAGTGGATCTCTTGTATAATTTAACCATTTTCACATTTTAATTACTATTTTTAGATAAAAGATGCTCGAGACCATACTCAAGAGAATAGAATGGAATCATTTTTTTTGGCCGAAACCACGAAATATCTTTATTTGTTATTTGATCCTGAGAACTTCATTCATAATGATGGTAGCAGTGGTAGAGTGCATGTTCTTCCCTCTGGGAGGCAATGTGTATTAGATGCTGGAGGTTACATCTTCAACACAGGTAAAAACTATTTAAAAGTGTTTAGGTTAATTGAATAAAGTTTAAGTATTGAATAAATAAATATAAACCTGCATGGTGAAAAATATAAAGATGACAGATGACGATGATCTATATAATTGAAAAATATTTTGAAGTCTGGGCTTAAATTCTAAATAATATTTTGTAGAGTGTTATTAACAACCAACACAGTGGTTGTTTAAACCTAGTTTAAACAATTTATTAAATTTAGTTGAATAAATAAAATGGCAAATATAGAAGATAGCCTCCAAAATTGGTTAAGAACTAATGAAATGGCCTCGAGATAAAAATATGTTTTGCAATGAAGTATTAATATTAAATTTGATGGATTGTTTTGACATTTGTATTGAATATGTTTTGTAAATTTTATTTATAACCATTTGCTGAATTTTGTTGATAAACATTGATTAATTTTTTTAATCACCTAGTACAATAAAAAATAAATTATTATTCATATAGTCAATCTCAGTGTGAAACTGCATTATTGATTTTCCTTCCAAAGAAAATCCCAACTTTTTAGCAGATAAAGAACGATTAACTTCTTAAAAATCATATTGAGCTAGGTAAATTCAAATATAAATATCTAACAATATTTTTTTAACTAGTTTTTTTTTGTGTACTCAGTTTTTCATACTTATTTGTGTTAAGCAGAAATTACTTACATTTTGTGCGTAGAAATAATATAAATGGAAAATCATTAGTTTTAAGCCTTAAACTTAAAAAGAAAAGATTGTGGCATTGATGGAAGTTTTTAATGGGCTTTGAAAAAAATGTTAAGTTTTAATTCATTATTTCCTTATTAAATTCCAAACTCCTTTGCATATGATAATACTTTTTCTGTTATATTCATTAATTAGCGTTCATAAGTTGATAATGAAATTATATTTAGATGTTCTTATGAGAAAAATTAAACATATCTCTTTTGTCTGTATTTTGACATTCATTGTATGTCTTGATCACTATCCATAAAGTTTAAGTTCTAGAATTTTTTATGTGACATTATAATTAATACAAAAGTAATTTATTTTAGAGGCTCATCCAATAGATCCTGGTGCTCTTCGTTGTTGCTATGAGTGGAAAGAAGAGAAAGATTTTTGGAAAAAATCAAAAAATCCTAAAGGAGATATGTTGAGTTCAAGGAAAAAGGAAAAAAAAGTTACACCAGAAAAGAGCAGTTCTGAAAGTAATTATACCTACAAATAATTTGGAGTTATAATAACAATAGAAACTGTTTTTAACTAATGTATAGCATAGGCCTAAACATTTTTAACTTAACAGATTTATTTCATTTATTGTTGATCAGTGGTATTGGTATTTGATGGAATATGGTATTGGATAGAAGGCCATCCAATCCTTAGTCAAATCGTTAGGCTTTCCGAAATTCGATTCCCATTGCGGGTTAATTAGTTTTTAAATATTGAAATAAACCACACACAAAGTGGAGGAACTACAAACTGTTTAGGTCATACCTCTAATTAAATAAAACATTAACAAAGGCCTTATTTAATAACAATTAAAATTACAATTTCTTCTGACAAGATAGATGTAAGGATGAAGTAGTTAAATTTAATAGGTTTATTCTTGTTTGTTCATCCTCTATTAATGCTTATTAAAAGAAAATGGTTGATAAGTGTGGCCTGCATAAACCCAAATCTCATAGAGGTGCTTCTGGAACAGTTTTTTGTTCAACAGCATTTATTGAGTTTAACTGTTTTCTTATGATACAGCAGTAATTAGTGACTGTTCAGCTACCACCTACCATGATTCTCCTGTCATAACCGGGGCTTACTCTGTCTTTCATGAAACCCATTCTAACCATTGAAAGATTCTTCAGAATTATCTCTCAGCCCTTTAGAATTTTTCGTGGAGTTGCATCCCTGCTCAATTTACCAACAACAACAAGGCTGGATGTCTAACCCTCATTTCTTTTGGGATAAGAGACTGGAAGGATATACTGATTGCCAGAACTTAACATTATCTCCATAGAAGCAGTAATATTGGTGGTTGTAACACTTATGACCAAGGCCCAGATTTTTATGCAGCAAAAACCCACCGGATATGCCATATAATATGTAGTAAAAAAACATGTAAAATTTAGTAACTGATTTCTATATATACTAAACTTACTTATTACTTGATTAATAATAGGACAATAACATATTTAAATATAATGATGTGCCAATAAAAAATTTAGAAACAAAAAGAATTTATGAAGGGATTGAAAATTACAATAATTTCATTTTTTTTTTTTTTTAATCTCAACTAAAGAATTAAAATAAGTAAAAATACTCTGTTAATAAGTTTATAATATACATATATACATTATAATGGTAAAGAAAACATAACATGAATCACATTACAAAATTTTAAATATCCAAATAGTACAAAGTATATAAATGAAAAAAAAAACAATCATTGTATTAGCACATAATTAAATAAGCATAGTAGTAAAAGATAACATATATGGAACAATAAGTATGTATGTAAACGCTTTAAAATTTTGTATGTTAATGGATAAAAATCTAACATGAGTATTTGTTGTAACAATAACATAATTAACAACTTTTGAAATAAATAGCATAAAATAGATAAAACATTTGAATTAGTCTACTTTGCAGATATTTTCTATATTAAAATTAATTACCAGAAACATTGCTAAATTTGCTTCTGTGAAACCGAACCTTTTATAAAATATTTTTATAATTAGAAAATGATCTTTCTTCAACAAAGGGCGCGATAGAGACAAATTTATAATAATCCACTTAAAATTAGCAGGTTGATGTCAATGTCATTGGGAACAATTGAATCTTCGCCATTTAAAATTGTATCGATAAATTCCAGAATTTTGAGCTGTAAATTTTTTATAGAAACTTCTTCCATTTTTTCATTTAAAGTTTTAACCACTTGGCCTGGTACCACAGATTTTCCATCAGTCACTAGCAGATCCAGGATTTAGTTTTAGGGAGCCTTCATCCCGAAAGATTTAAAAAAATATATATATTACGATAATTACGTATAAAGAAAAAGAAGGGAGCTAACTACCTATATGAAATAGAGTTTAAGTGATTCTTCAAGTACTATTAAATGTAATTATATGGACAATAATACATTTAGTATTATAATATTTTTTCATAAGACATGGTTATATTTTACAATTTTTGGGGGAGGGCTTCAGCCCCAAAGCCCCCTCCCTCTCCTCCCCCCCTTAGATCCACCCAGGCCATCGGTTGTAAAAACTATTTCATGTCTGTTGTTTTAAGTTTAAATCCAAAACTTCTACATTGATGAAAATGATACCTTAGGCATTTTAAATAAACAGAAATGTGATCTCTTGCACAGATAAATGTGATTATACACATTTATCTTTAAATATGCAATTATGTGCATTTATCCTCAAATACACCAAATATAATTTGGCTATATGCATCACAGTGTACTCAATTCGTATATATATTTGATCAGCAGTTTAAATAAATAACACAAATAAAATATGCAATTGCATAAAAATCCGGACCTTGCTTATAACTCATGTAAATATTCAGAATTTTCCTCATTAGAGCTTGAATTTAACCAATGAAGATCTGCGCAACCACAAAACAACATATAGGACCATAAGTCTTACACCTTTTGTTTATTATTTTTTTTAATTACTATTTAAAATTCCCCAAATTTACCTTACAGCTCTTTGGTCTATGTCTATGGTGTACCTGTAATGGATGATATTTTTAAAGGTTATATTTTCTTTTGCAGATAATCGTTCTTTCTCTTTATTACCACAAGCTGTGGTATAGTGTTTGTAGCAAATATTGTTGATTGTAAATTACCAAAATCTAATTTCACCAAAGGAAAAAAAATTGATAATGCTAATGATTTAATGTTAAATTTATTATTTATATTTAATTTTAATTTATCTGAATTTTAGGAAATGTAGATAGTCATCTTAAACTTTCTCAATTTTTCTTTTTCTGTATTTTTAGTTAACTTCAATCAGGCATCAGGTTCAGACTGTGATAATGTTATATATTTATGTTTGATTCATTTTCAATCCTACTATAAAGAAATAATACAATTAGGATACTGAAAAATATTTTAGCATCGGAAATAACATTCCTCAGACTTAGCCAATTGTTAGAAATTTTATAACTTCAAAAATATAAAACCCTTGTTGGTATTTTATTTATGATGATTAAAATGAATTGTTTGGAATAATGTGTTATTTAGTGTTATAAAATCTACTAGAAGTTAACTTATTTTCTTCTGGATAAATTTTTTATAATCTGTTAACATTTTAATAATAATATTGAGTAATTAAGATACTGAAATGTTTAATTTAATTTAGGGTACAGTGATAATGAAACCAGCCAACTCATTGTTCAAGGGACTGATGGTAACTTTCAAAACCAATCAAGTGATTATTTTAAAGTCATAAGTAAAGATAATTCAAATGATGGTAAAAGTAGTTTATCTGAAGAAGTAGAGAAATTGTCAAGACACACTGAAACTCTCAATCACCTATTGAATATTGTAAAAGCTAGTCGTGAATCTGTATCAATAAAAACAGAAAATGAAAATGAAGAAGGTGGTGAAGATGGGCCAACATTCAGCCAAAACAGTTCCGAGTCACCTGTCCTGGAATGGCCTCCCAATTCAACTTTGTCTCAAGTAAGTATAAGTATATATTTTGTGTAGTATTATGAGAATCAATGTTAATGTCATTCTTTACTGTACCACAGAATATGAAGGCTCCTAAAAAGCAATCAGCATAAATTTTTTTGTTATTATGAAATACTAATGCTATCTAGTGGACTGGGATGGGAGGTTTCAGATGCTAACAGAAAGTTAGAATCATATAAAGTAACATAAAACTAACCCATTGAAAATGTATGTATGACTATAATACGACGACAAAAATAGTAAGATGAAGAAAATTTTCTACCTATCTACGTTGGTTTAATTTAGTTTGATATTTTGTGTTGTGTAATTTCATAGACATATAAATAATTGGTACCCATCCTTGAAATGATTTTATTATATTTTAAAAGATATTTACATTCAATAAAATATTAAAGTCATTTTAATTTTATACTTTTTTATTTCATCAAAACAACACAAAGTAATCTTTATATATTATTTCTCAAAGGTGTTTTTTTTTATGGTATGCTATAACTTCGTCAATTCTTCATCAATAGTGATTGAGTCCTCAATTTGAAGATTTTCTCCTCCTTCAGATGGGAAAAATAATCACATCCACCCAAAATTTCATGGAAAAAAATATGAAAGAAATGAAACTTTATTTGTGAATAACATAAAAAGTGTAGGCATTTTTTTTGCTATCGCACCTATGGTTATTTGAAAGATTACTAAATTCCCTACAAAAAAAAAAAAAAAATACTCTGCCTGGTGTAGTGTTTAGACACTGCAGTTGCCCGTCCCAAATCTGGAAAAAGGAGAAGAAAAGAAAATTTCTCCCCACAACTCTAGGGCAAAACACTGTTGAAGGAAACTCAGACCTTCGGGTAACTGAAATGGAGAGTGGGAGCGCACAGTCTTCCACAAGTAGCAGCCCCACAAGTGTGCTAGGGTCCTGATAGCTAATAACCTGACCTGAAATTATTTTATTATAAGAATAGAAAGAAAATGAGCCTGGACAGAGTTTATGGAAACCGACATGGCAAGGAAAAAGGATTTCAAGATTTGGAATATAAGAAGTCTGAAATTAAAAGAACCTGAAATGATTAGAGAAATGAAACAGGCAAGGTGGATATACTAGCTATCAGGGAGACAAAATGGAAAGGCCAAGGTGAGATAAAGATTGAGGACCACGTCATTTCATTCTCAGGAGTGGCAAGGCAGGAGAGAGCAGGAGGAGGAGTTGGTTGTATTTTTCACCAAAGATGGAAAAGATAAAATAATATCCTGGACCCCTATTAATAACAGACATATGACATTGATGCTGGAGAAGGGTGAATAGCAGTTAAATATAATTATAGCCTATGGCCCAAATGAAGATTCATGCCTAGCAGACAAGGAAGTATTCTATGAAGCTGTGCAAAATATAATTGACAAGTCGGAAGGAATCACTATTATAGTAGAGGATTTGAATGGGAGAGTGGGAAGAAAGGTATTAGAGCTATGCATAAATGATAATGAAGAAAGGATTTTAAACTTGGGCTTAAATAACGACCTGGTTGTGGTGAACACTCTCAAACCACACAAAAGTATTCATAGGTATAATAGAGCTCAGCCGAACAGAGGTGAGAAGTGCATAAGAAGTCCATAATTGATTCATGATCCCAAGAAACATGATAAAGGAATTAATAGATATAAGGGTTAAAAGAAGCTACGAAATAGGGAGTGACCACTATCTACTAATTATGGACAAGATGATGATAGACCAACATAGAACCAAAACAAGAGCTCCTCTAAAGATGGAAAAGAAAAAGAGAATAAAATCTTTAAATTGAAAGAAGAGGGCACTGCAAAATGATATCACAGAGATCTTGAAAAGTTAATAAAAGAGACTCAAGCTCAATGGGGATCGGACAACATCAAAGATTGCTGGTCTGCATTCTGCAAGATTGCTCTTTCTGTGGCGGGCAGTACGTGTGGATATGAAGGAACGGACAGTCGTACAAGCAGAACACCTTGATGGTCACAGGAACTGAAGGAGAACATAAAGCAGAAAAAAGATGCATGGAAGCATTACATTGCCACAAAAAATCCAGTGGACTATGATGAAGAAAGATAGTGAAGGCAGCAGTAATCCTTGCAAAGAGAAAGGCATAGGAGGAATTTGGAGAGAAATTAGAGGTTAATTTCAAAGCAAACCAAAAACTCTTCTACAAAGTGCTAAAATTCATCCGGAAGGAAAGGGAGCCAGTCCTAAAATTCATCGAGGACAGAAGTGGAAAACTTTTGAATAAAAGTAACGATATAATGAACCAGTGGAAAGAATACTTTCAAGAACTACTTGGTGAAAATGAAATTTGGAATAGGACCAATGGTGACAACTAAGTATGGCAAAGAATCTGGGAGGAGGAAGATTTTATAGATGAAGAAAGTTGGATGAAGCACTACGAAATATGAAGTTGGAAAAAGCAGCTAGTAGAGATGCTATATCACCTGAAATGCTCCGATACATGGGAGAACATGTAAAGAAAGTTCTTCTCTATCTTATCAACCTAATTTGGAGGGATAAAAGAATACCAAAAGATTGGGAGGTTTCCACCATTGTTGCAATATACAAGAAATGAGATAACAGAAGTGAAAATCATAGAGGAATTTCTCTACTAAGTTTCCCATGCAAGATATATGCACGAATTCTGGAAAGGAGACTGAGAGACAAACTTAAAATGAGAGGTTTTCAACTTGACTACCGAAATCTAAGTCCAGTAAGTTTTAAGTTGATGGCTTATGCTGATGACCTGGTGATCTTCGGGAAAGATGGTAGGAATCATCAGTATAATATATTGATCCTAAGAGACGAATTGCTAAAATTAGTATACAAATGAAGCAAAAATGAAAGTGATGAGAATTGGAAAGCTCCTGGATCACAACCTACGTATAGTCTGTATAAATTAAAAACTAATAGAACTGATGGATAGCTATAAGTATCTAGGAGCACACCTAACAGAAAAAGGACTTATATATATGGAAATCAGAGAAAGAATACTTTCGGCTGGAAAATTTGTCAATGCTGTTGAAAGCAGCTTCATTAACAGGAGAGAAGTATTAAAAGAAACAAAGGTGGCTATATACAAAAATACTTCCAAACTAATAATGATGTATTCCAGTGAATCTTGGACACTTATGACAAAATATAGGAATCTACTACAGAGTTCTGAGATGAGATTCCTCTGGAAAATTGAAGATAAAACAAGACAAGATCGAATCAGGAATAACACAATAAGAACGAACCTCTTGGTGTAGTGGCTATATCCTAGTCTCTAACGGTGAAGGTTCCGGGTTCAAGACTGGTTCCAGCATATTCCTTTTCAGGGGCAGGGTGGCCAAATGAGAGGAGTTATGAGATTTAAAAAAAAAGTATGAGGTTGCGTTCTGGTACCAGAGGGGATTTTAAAGTCACTCACTCTGCGGGGAAAAAAAACAAAAATGAATCTCAATGTAAAATCTACAAGAACAATAATCAAAGAAAATCAATTCCGATGTTATGGACATGTCATTAGGATGGATGAAAATAGAATAGCCAGAGCAACCTATGAGACACAGGTTGACGATCGTAGACCGAGAGGAAGGCCAAGGAGAAGATGGGAGGAAGATATAAGGGAAGCATTTGCAAACAGAGAAATGGATTGGAAGAGGACATAATTGGTGCAGGGTAGATATCTATGGTCCAGGCTCTGTAAGAGAACCCCAACCAACAATGCAATGGTAGACAGAAGCTCGACGAATTTTAATGAATTAATACCAGATCACATTGAAACTTAACAGTGAAAATAAATTATTTAATAATAAACTTTCCACATTTTACAAATTTGCTCACCTGCAGTATCAAATCTGCACAATTAAATTATGTTTTATATTAAATAAATAGGATATGGATGAGACCTCATTCTGGAACATTGGTGCACAGTTGTATTATACTTTACGTTTTTTTCTCTTGCTTGACCGCACTTCTAATCACCTTCTTTTTATTACATTAACGTTCAACAATGTTTATATCAGTAAAAAATTTGTTTTGTTTTTTAGCCTTCAACATCTGAACGTGAAGAAAGCTTACCAGAGTATGTTCGTGAGTTGGTAGGTTTAAAAAGTATAAAAAAAGAATTTGATCCTCAGAGACTTCTCGAATCGATCAGGGCATCATCTGCTGACATCAGTTTAGATTCATCTAAGAAATATCAGCTGCTTACGTGTCCTGCTCAGCCATTTCATATAAGGTTAACAATTGCTGGTGAATTTATTGAAGAAAAATAAAATTTTACAGGAGAAGGCAACCATGTACATAAAATAATTCAATAAAAACAAGTTTGTAAATAATATGAGATAATAAATTGATTTAATAAAACATTGAATTTTACTTTCTTCAACAGTCAGATATAAGTAAATGCACTCCCAATTTTACATTGTCCTATTTTATATTGTTTCGAAGCTACATTGCAAACCAATTTCTACAAGGAATTTTTTTATGCCAAAGCAAATTCAAAATTAATTGTTTGAAAAAAAAATTAATGTTTTTTTTATCAAATTAATCATTAAAAAAATATCAATTTAAATGAAAAATAGAGCTATTAAATAAACTTATAAAAAAATAATAGAAATAAAAGAATAATCTCTTTAAAAAAGGAAATATGTGTGATAATATGGAGCAGACATAAATTCATTTAGTGCTTTCCCAGAAACAAAAACAGCCATGTATGAACATTGTTCTTTTCTTATACTGTAATGTATTACTTTAGTTGTTTCCAGGATTTCCTTCCTTTTCTAATTTTCTGATGCTTCAATGTAGCATCCCAATGATTTTTTTTATAACCAACAGGATGTAAATATCAATTCAAGTTAACGAAAATTTAAGTTAAGAAATGTTAAGTTGTGTAAAATAAATGTTTCTAAAAAGAAAATCCTTTATTAATTGAATTATTTTCATGAAAACATAAATTATTAGAATCAGGAAGATTTATTTGATCACTTAACCCTTTGTCTGCAGAAGTTCATTCGCGTGTTCCCAACAGATGGTGCATCCTGAAACCCAAAAATGCACGCAATTAGAGCGACAATCCTGCAAAACTTCGCTTTCTTGCATATATGCTCATTTCCGAAAAGCAAAATAACTGAAAATTACCATAAAAATAACTGTAAGTGATCATAAAAATTAAATTATATTATTACTAAAAAAAAGGATACCGACAAAACTGTTCGAAAAAAGGATTCAAATTACATATTTCTTTGTATTTACACTTTTTTTTTCTTACCTAAAAAAGTTCCATATTGAAAATAGTCGAGTTATACATTTTATTATTGCAATTACATTTATTTTGATTTTCAAACATTTTTATATTATATGAAATATATATATATTTTTTTTTTCGGTTGGCGCTACAGACCATGAAGATCTTTTGCCGCGAGATGTGGTCTCCTTCCGGATGCATGTTGCTTGCGGGAGCTCAGATAGTCTGGATGAGGTCATCCAATCTCACGTTGCTACGAACCATGGTCTCCATGGTGCAGCGGTAGGCCACCCATAGCTCCATAGCCGATCCCTTTGTGGTCAATCTGGCAGTGTCCTAACCACCAACTCATTCGGGTTCAGGGACAGTGACAAATCGGTCTAGATCGATAAATTATGACAGCTCAGAGTCAGCAGGCGGACGAGGACCTATATTTCTTTCCCCGAAACAGACTGTTCATGGACCGAACCTCAGGAGGGCTACTAACATCCTGGTTGACCACATTCCAATTCTTGATTAAGTAGACGGGGTAGCGTCATCAGTCCTACGCCCGGTTGGTGTGAGTTGCCTCAAGTAGGCTGACAGCTCTAACATAACCGGTGGGGGGGAGGAGGAGACTCGGGCAGCATGGCTTTCCCTGGTGGACGGTCACCCAAATTGAGCTGTCACCCATCCAAGTACTAATCACGCTCGATATTGCTTAACTTTGATCAGCTATTGCAAGCGCCTTTAGCCTGTACGGCTACCCCAGCCCCATATATATATATATTTTGTTTTTAGGTGGATGGAAAAATGATAAAACAATGAAGGTATCATTTTAATTCTGTATATTTTTACATTTATTTATTACATTATATATATATATATATATATAAAATGTAGGAAACTTACATTTATTTGTTTAATAGACAGAGATTCACGTGTACCAAAATCAGCATTCAATCAAAACGAAAATTAAAAAAAAAAAAAGAAAATATAAAATTAACTTATTAGCATTATTTGATGAAGAAATAATTTAAATAGAATATAAATAAGGCATAGATGTGACACAAATAACTGAGAAAAGACATACCTTGGGTTCAGAATAAATCTGCAACTGATAGCTTCCAAATGGTCAGAATCCAGAATGACCGCTCTGAGTCAGCTACAGGGGACTAGTGAATGCACCAACCAAACCACAAGTCAAATGGTGAAGGCGGGAATTGCCTCTACCTGTTTAAGTGGTGACCACCAAGGCCGGAAGGCATATATCCCAGTCCCACCAGTGACCCAACTCACTACCGGGAAGGCATATATCCCGTCCGCACCAGTGACACAACTCTTAATGGAAAGGCATGAATCCTGTCCGCAGTCAAAGCGTTAATAACATAGGGATCAATACCTATAACTGAGCTGTGTGTAAAAAGCAATATCACTTTAGGTTTTTTTTATTTTTTTTTTATAGTGTTGGCCATGAGCACGTCGACCCCTAATGGGTCCATTGTGCGCCAATAAAATTTAGGTTATTTTTTTACAGATTGTATCAAAACAAAAAATGTATTTTAGTAAATAATTTAATAAAAAGCATTTAATATTGAAAAAAAAAATAGAACGAATAGCCACTTCCAGGGCTAGATTGAAATGAAGGGGAGATAGGGGATCACCCTGTCTCAATGCATTATCCTCATCAAATTCTTCAAACGTAGAATTTCCAAGTTTCACTTAACAGGTAGTCTTTATTAGCATCATTTTTGTTAGTCTGACCAGTTTCTTGGGAATGCCTACATCTATTGTAGGTTTCAAAAGTCCCTTTCTATCTACACTGTCATACATCTGTTTGAAGTCCACAAAGAGAAGATGCATGTCTATATTAAATTCATAACATTTTTCCATTGCCTGTCTCAGAGAGAATATCTGGTCAGCTATTGATCTTCCAGGCCTAAAGCATACCTGACAATCTCCTATAATTATTTCAGTGAAATCTGTCAGTCTTCTAAGTAGGAGTACAGCCAATATTTTATAGGTCGTACTTAATAGAGCAATGCCTCAATAATACTAGCTTGTGTATTGGACATATTGCTGCACTTGTCCACTCTTCAGGCACTTTCTCTTCCGTCCATATCTCCCAAATTAGGTCATAAATTTACTCCCACAAATCACTGCCACTATATTTTAACCTCAAGTTGCCAGGTCATACTGAGAATGAAACAGTCTAATGCTTCATTTGCTGGTACAACTGGTTCACAAGATATCCCATTATTGACCCTCTTGTGATTCCCAGGATCTAACAAACTTATATTTTAAATAGCTTATTTATACAATAGATCTATAGAGGCGAGTAAATATTGAGTAATTAAAAATAATACATATCTATAAAAATAATATATATCTTTTTTGACTGACCACCCCAACTATTCTTCTCTTCATTATCCACGACAGTCAACCATTTACCAATTATAAAAATAATACACTTTTATAATACTTGTGTATAAATAATGTATTAAACTTAGGTTGTGAAATAAAAAAATAAATTTTCCTTAAAAATTTATTTGCATATCAACATACAATACATTGAAAAAGACTTTCAAATAAGAAGAAACACTTAAAGTTATTTTATCACAATTCTTAGTATGAAATATAAAAATGAATGAAGCGCATTCCCTAATAATGTATAGATTATCTGGATTAAAAATTATAAGCTTTTTATCAGTGGAATGTAAAAAAAAAAAAAGAAAAAATCTGGATGTAGAATAATGAAAAACTTCCTATAAAAATATTGGTTGCATTTTAAGTTCCTATAAAATTATGTTAGTTCTATTTACAATTTTAAGAGTATCACAAAATATTATATCAGTCAGTTTTGACCAGAAAATGGATTCATTTCTAACATGAATTGCCCATAAGGAAAATAGCTGGTAGAGTGTTTAGTGATAATAATTAAGAAAAAAGAGGAACAAATAAATAAATTTTAAAAATATAGATATCACATTGGCACATTTCTTTCATTACTCTTTCCATCTTTTTCTGGTTATATTTGAGACTACAATAGATAAACACAACCTTAACATTCATTAACAAACACATTATACATAAAAACTAATCTAACTGTAGAAACATCATTTGATCTAAATAAAAAGATTGGAATATTATAAAGCAACAATTGATCAATTTTGTGATTGGTAAAATAGGTACTATTATGTAAGAAAATCAAACAATTAATATTTTAATAAACAACTGTATGTATATAATAAAGATTTTTTACCCTCTCCTCCCTATGTCACATTGATTATATTCCCTTTTCTCTTTTCATGCTATTTAATTTTATGTTATGAAATTGAACCATAAAAATAAAAACTTTACGAATTGGATTTTATTTTTTAACATCATATAGCTAAATGGTTTTATATTTTAATGATATCTTTACTTCTTATTAAAAATGTAAGAATAACATTTCTATGAATAATAATATTTCAGTTTCAAAATAATAAAATCCCATGAATGCTATTTTGACTGCTTTGTAATAGTTAGGGCTCTTATTTATTTTATAATGGTTCCTAAAATGATCATTTGGGAAACTATGTTAACGGCAGAATCATTATCTCCTCTTTTACCAACCTTCACAAGGACTTGGTTGAAATTATTGATAACTTCAATTCATGATGTCAACCATTCCAATTACTAAATAAAGCCTATGGCACAGATATTCAATGAGAAGATAATGTAATTTTTGGATATGAATCTACCTAGCTTATCGTAATATATACTTCAAAAAATCAAATTAATCAATTAATGGTAATGGAAAATTAAAAATGGTGAAAAATTGTTTTTTTTTAAATAGAAAAAATTATGATGAAAATTGTAAAAGCGCAATTAAATGAAATATTTTCAGCTATGTTTGAATGTAACTATTAGCTTGTTATACTATTTTGCAAATGACAAATATCAAGTGAATATAGTTAATTTTTTCAAAAATAAGTAATTAAATTTAAAATATTTCTAAGAGTATAAATAAAAATTCTAAACCATATATAGTAGAGGAGATCATTCTTGAATAAATATTTCAAAAATCCATTATCCTCCTTAATTTATATAAGAGCATTAAAGAAAGCAAAGCATAACAACTGAATACAAGAC